ACACACACACCACACACACACACACACACACACACACACACACACACACAAAAAAAAATACATCTCAGCTGGTTACAAGCCCATGTGAAATCAGACACAAAAACAGATCGCAATACTGAACGGCGTGAGATGCGATTATTTGCGTGGTTGTGCTCCACAGCAAGGTCAGACAACAAGTAAGCATGTAGGACACAGTCTGCCTGCAGCTGTCCTCCGTGGTGGGCCTCCGGCTTTAGATTGTCACATTAGGAAATAAACAGCTTTTTATTTGTGAGGCTGAAGGAGAAAAACATGCATTCAAAATCAGGAAGTTTTTTTTTTTTTAATTTATTTTTTATTCATGACGCACATGAATAGGGAGTGTTGCCTTCTTTCCCAACTTGATTAAACGGCACAGATTGACTAATGTGAATGAATGTGAACAATTTCATTCTTGACTGATCGTGTCTTGAAGTAATTGGGACGACATGGAGTACACGACTTGGCAGTTCCTATTGATTGAGCCCAAACTCGTTTGTTGGCTCAAGAAAAACGACATGACGAGAGCCTTTCGGAACTTCCTCCGCTACTCCTCCGAGCAACATTATTCTGCTTAGTAAATCGGTGCCATGGAAACAGCAGTTCAGATCATTTCGGTTTGACCATCTCATTAAAAATAATAGTGTGGAGTTTAAAGTCAAATAACCCAAAGGTCAAATTTAGCCTAAATTATGTCTAAAAAATATATATACAGGTAAATGGAATTTGAACTGCATGAACACTGGAAACCCCCCACACCCCCGCAAAAAAAAACCACCCAAAACAAATGAAATGTTACCGTGAGTTGTGACTTCGAGAAGAACCCAAGGTAAATATTACCCAGTGTCAATATTAAGAATGGACACAATAATAGACTCATTGATTGACTGGATTGATTTGTTAATTAATATTTAGTCGAAACCAAGTCAAAATGGAATACACGACTGGGCTGCAACCAACATTTGAGTCAGTCTCAACTAGTTTGCTGTCCAAAGAAGCACAACATGACATCAGCTATGGGAGCATCCTTGCCATACATTTTAGTTGAATCATTATTTAGGTACACTTTCCCCCTCTCTATTTCAGTGCAGTTTTGGTATTTTGGTGCATAATGCTCTCGTGACAAACAAAAACATTAAATATGATTTTTAGGGAACAAAAAAACCCTCTCCCTCATTTTTTGATGAACATGTAGGCCTATTACGCTATAGTCATTAGGAGGGTACTTGGAGGTTATTTTTTAAAGTGGTAGCCTACTTGTGAACTACTGTTCTAGAGGAAACATCGATTTAAAACCTGAACAAATGGGAAAGGAAACGGAAACACAGTTTTCCAAGCAGTTTTCAGATTTTGCAAAGGCAACATTCAAAACAACGTGAAGCAAATGAGTCTACAAATACATGGCTAATGCCTTTTGCTTCATGGCAGAGTTCTTTTTTTTTTTGTTAGCTCGACAATGTGGTACGTTTAAGGAATTGAGTGTACGCTAAGTAATAGCAATTTTTCTCATGATGTCATGTCACTGTAGGGATCTCATCACATTTGGATAATTGGATTTCAGGAGCAAATTCGTTTTGGTATCTGCAGATTGCTATGATATAGTTTCATGTCCTGTATTTATCCGCCCAATCGTCATGCATACATTTTTTTTCTTTGTCATTCTTCTTTGCATTTCCCTTGAATGAAAGCATCTCGTGCCAATTTCTACGGAATTCACTCTCTAACTAATCAAGGCTACGGAGGAGCCCCGTAGGAGGGGGTTTCTTTGAAAGCCTTCCTTTGTGAACATTAAAGCTGCATTACTCCAAAACCAGGAAGGGCTGATCCCTGGAGCAGAATGAAAGGGGGGGGGTGGCGGGGGGGCCTACCTAGGGGGACTCTGGCGGGCACGGCCCTGCGGTCGATCCAGAACGACACCCAAGACAACATGACCATGAGGGTAGCGGGGAAGTAGGTCTGCAGCAGGAAGAAGAAGATGTGGCGCCGCAGGGTGAAGTGGATGTACAAGCGGTTGTACCAGCCTGGGAAGAACAAACACACACACACACACACACACATACACACACACACACAGTGATGTGCACAAGCAGTTGATTGGACGTGAAACCACTTCAAGGAAAAGGTTCATGCTGTTTCTGGCAAGGGAAGATAGCGCGCAAAATCCTTTTAACACTTCAGAGGCTCTTGCAAACAGGGAAGGGATGGGCGCTCGGAAAACCGCTGCAGGGCCTTCAAAGCGCCGCACAAGTTGTTCGAAGTCATTTGATACATTCGATGTCAGTGTGAAATTTAAATACTAGCGCAGTTTAGCGCAAGGAGCACAGTTTACATCGAGCTGGAATTTGCCCTCGGAGTTTCTCCCACACTGATCCACAGTGTGGGAGAGCCTCTGAAAGCTAAACGAGTAGAATTGGAATTCTCATGTGGATGCTGGCGTTTGGAAGGAGGAGATTACCTGTGCTGCTGTAGAAAGCCAGCTTGGTGGTGGTGTGAAATTTCTGGATGAGGAACTGGGAAAGGGATATTCTGTCGTCCGTGTTCAGGGATTCGTTGCCTTTCTTCCAGTAAAGCATCAAGTCGTCGTCCGTGTACGCATCTGTGAGAACGGGGAACAAACCAAACCATGACAATAGCCGCCCCCCGCCCTCAATTTGAGCAAAGTGGTTCAAAGTTGGCTTTTCAAAAGCCATAATTCCATAACTCCAATGATTACTATTCTCAACATAAGAGTATATCAGGCATTTATCCCAGGTCTTTACAATTAGTTAATCTGTCATTTATTTGGTTGATTAATTAATGCATCAGATGCAAATAAAAACATCTCTAAATATAGCACAGGGGTTCCTCGATTTTCAATCCATTTCTGTTTTTACCGGGGTGACGTAAGATGAATTTGTATGGAAATCGGGAAAGCGACGTTGCCCATCACTACCCGATGACAGTAGTCAAACAGTCAAATGAAAAGCGGTAAGTAAAGCGCGAACTGAATGTTCCTTATTGTGATACGTCCACTGTCTTCACATGCCGCTGTGCTAACGAGTTCATTGCATGGGCTCTTGCTCACCTCCAAAATGTTACATGTCACGACTGTTGTAAAGTGTATTTATCATAAGATAATTATTCTAGTAGACTCTGATTCTAATTTTCGAGGACTGTGATAGAAATCATTGAATTTGTCCAAATGGGCCACGCTGACTTAACTGAGTTGAAAACACCAACTCCTGTGTTCATTTAGGTCAAACTATATATCGTGCACTGCATCTGGTCGTATCAGATGCCGCAGAACACAAGATAAAAAGGAGGTGTGCTTGTTTGTTTGGTTTTTTTTCTTTTCATGTGGGCATAGCTCTGGGGAGGCTTTTGTCAAGATGTGAAAGATGCAGTGATGAATCCACTCACAGCTTTCTATCTCCAAAGAGCACGTTTGGGTATCCAGAGGGAAGCGGCTGAGGTCCATGTTGCACATGGCGGTGACCGTGACCCTAATTTACAAGACACAAACACACGCACGGGCACACAGGCACGCGCGCACACACACACACACACACACACACACACACACACACACACACACACACACACACACACACACACACACACACGGTGAGCTGCCTTCCAACCAGAGCACAATGGCTGTTATTATTCCTTCACTGAATGTTTCATGAATCTTTTCATATTGTCCTGGGATGAATTGAACACGATATCATATTCATATTGTACTGTGATTACAGTTATTATATATTATATCATGACAGATCCCAGTTGCCTGTTCTGTTTGAATGCTGTAGTCTGCATTAACGATTCCATTTTATACACACTGTGTTTCAGGGAACAGCTTTTTTTTTTTTGCTGACCATTCTTTCACTTTCACACAACAGGCCATGAATAATTCAATTTCTTTGTCTAGGAAAATTGCAACATGACAAATAGATAGAATTGTTCTTTGAAAAGAAAAAAATGAGTATAGTCCTGACCCCTTTAGACTAAACTTTTACATTATATACTCAATGCTTACCACGTTGAGTCGACCACCTAGAAATACACTGCCTCATCCTGACATGTTTTTCCAAGAGCAATGTTACTAATAAGGTAGGCAGGCAATAAGCTTCAGTGTGATGCCTTACAAACCACAAGTCAGACAAAAAAAAAAGATACAATGAAATGTTTCCCCTCTGCTGTGTTTACCTGAGGCTGTAGAGGACGTTGCCATCAGGATAAACTCTCAGCATGACATTGTCGGTGGTGGTGTCATGGATGAAAGAGCGCTTAGAGTGCACGAAGAACATGTCCGGGACCCAAATCTTCTTCACCAGGCGACTGTCAAAGGTCATGCTCTGGTTGTTAGTGCTGGGGAAGGACAGCCTCTCGTCCTTCCAGTAGTGACGCAGATATAGTGTCATGGTGAAGTCCTACAGGGAAGAAATACATTTTATCCCCCGTTAGCCATATCATTATCATGGTGGAGGCATTCGTGTGATCGTATGAGCTGAGTTGTCTGGGTCTTTATGCCTCTGGCAGGGTCACCAGGCAAAGCATGGCTCAAAGACCCCCTATGATGAATACAAATATCGGGCTTGGTTTGTTTCACCCAGACACACGAGTTACCGGGCCCCCTATGGAGCCAGGTCTGGAGGTGGGACTCATTCTGGATCTTGTGGGGCTGTCACATATGACACGTCTCTACAATATTGTGTGGACATCGGGGATGGTGTCTCTAGAGTGGCAGACCGGTTTGGTGGTCCCCCTGAAAAGCGGGGATTGGGTGTGTGTTTGGTAGGGTCTCCTTAGGGGTGCTGGAGATGAGGGTCCGTCAAGAATCTCAGATCCAGGAGGAACAGGGTGATTTTTGTCTGCACCATAGAACAGCGGACCATTTCTACACCCTCGGCATGGCGTTCGCCCAACCAGACTATATGTGTTGCTAAAGCTGCTACCCCGTGACCCAAACTGGACAAGTGGAAGAAAATAGATGGATGAATGGATGGATTGATGAATGCTAATGTTTATTTGCTTACCATATCCACTTCAGAGATGGTGTCCAAACTTTCCACTTGAACATCTACTCCGACTGGAATGGGAGGCCCTGAAATACAGTTTTTTTTTTTTTTTATCAAAAGTCACTCATAAACAATATATTTAGTGTCAACATTCAACCCTGCAAATCAGTCTGGCTGGGATTCTAGAGTCCATATGACCTATTTCTGCTTTGCGACTCCACAGCATCATCCTGCGATAAGTGCGCGAACACAATTAGGTCGCAATAAAGGATCAAAGTTGATGCAGCGGCAGGATGAAATCCAGCTCGTGCTTGTTCTTTCATAGACGTGCAGTCAAAGTGTGATGCAGGAAAATATTTGTTTAGTGATGCTCATGTGATGTGAGTCACGGTTTGTCTCATCGGCAGCAATGATATAACAGTTTATGTTCAAGACATACAGTTCAAAATAAGAGAAAGCTGCATGAAAAATGTATTTGCTCTGTTTTGAATATATTATACGGGGACAAGGATTTTGTGTGAGAGTCCGAGTTTTTGTAATACATTGTATTTCCCCCCCAAAAATGCGACTTCTACTTCGGAGTGACTTACATGTGTTTTTTTTTCTTCTTCATGATATACAGTAGTTTTTTACTGTTGCGATTTAAAATCCATTGTGAATTATAGGTATCGTATACGGTATACATCACATACTGTATATGTATGGAACAGCTTTTTTTTTTTTTTTGCTGACCATTCTTTCCCTTTCACACAACAGGCCATGAATAATTCAATTCCTTTGTCTAGGAAATTTGCAAACATGACAAATAGATAGAATTGTTCTTTGAAAAGAAAAAAATGAGTATAGTCCTGACCCCTTTAGACCAAACTTTTACATTATATACTCAATGCTTACCACGTTGATTCGACCACCTAGAAATACACTGCCTCATCCTGACATGTTTTTCCAAGAGCAATGTTACTAATAAGGTATGCAGGCAATAAGCTTCAGTGTGATGCCTTACAAACCACAAGTCAGACAAAAAAAAAAGATACAATGAAATGTTTCCCCTCTGCTGTGTTTACCTGAGGCTGTAGAGGACGTTGCCATCAGGATAAACTCTCAGCATGACATTGTCGGTGGTGGTGTCATGGATGAAAGAGCGCTTAGAGTGCACGAAGAACATGTCCGGGACCCAAATCTTCTTCACCAGGCGACTGTCAAAGGTCATGCTCTGGTTGTTAGTGCTGGGGAAGGACAGCCTCTCGTCCTTCCAGTAGTGACGCAGATATAGTGTCATGGTGAAGTCCTACAGGGAAGAAATACATTTTATTCCCCGTTAGCCATATCATTATCATGGTGGAGGCATTCGTGTGATCGTATGAGCTGAGTTGTCTGGGTCTTTATGCCTCTGGCAGGGTCACCAGGCAAAGCATGGCTCAAAGACCCCCTATGATGAATACAAATATCGGGCTTGGTTTGTTTCACCCAGACACGAGTTACCAGGGGCCCCCTATGGAGCCAGGTCTGGAGGTGGGACTCATTCTGGATCTTGTGGGGCTGTCATAGGTGACACGTCTCTACAATATTGTGTGGACATCGGGGATGGTGTCTCTAGAGTGGCAGACCGGTTTGGTGGTCCCCCTGAAAAGCGGGGATTGGGTGTGTGTTTGGTAGGGTCTCCTTAGGGGTGCTGGAGATGAGGGTCCGTCAAGAATCTCAGATCCAGGAGGAACAGGGTGATTTTTGTCTGCACCATAGAACAGCGGACCATTTCTACACCCTCGGCATGGCGTTCGCCCAACCAGACTATATGTGTTGCTAAAGCTGCTACCCCGTGACCCAAACTGGACAAGTGGAAGAAAATAGATGGATGAATGGATGGATTGATGAATGCTAATGTTTATTTGCTTACCATATCCACTTCAGAGATGGTGTCCAAACTTTCCACTTGAACATCTACTCCGACTGGAATGGGAGGCCCTGAAATACAGTTTTTTTTTTTTTTTATCAAAAGTCACTCATAAACAATATATTTAGTGTCAACATTCAACCCTGCAAATCAGTCTGGCTGGGATTCTAGAGTCCATATGACCTATTTCTGCTTTGCGACTCCACAGCATCATCCTGCGATAAGTGCGCGAACACAATTAGGTCGCAATAAAGGATCAAAGTTGATGCAGCGGCAGGATGAAATCCAGCTCGTGCTTGTTCTTTCATAGACGTGCAGTCAAAGTGTGATGCAGGAAAATATTTGTTTAGTGATGCTCATGTGATGTGAGTCACGGTTTGTCTCATCGGCAGCAATGATATAACAGTTTATGTTCAAGACATACAGTTCAAAATAAGAGAAAGCTGCATGAAAAATGTATTTGCTCTGTTTTGAATATATTATACGGGGACAAGGATTTTGTGTGAGAGTCCGAGTTTTTGTAATACATTGTATTTCCCCCCCAAAAATGCGACTTCTACTTCGGAGTGACTTACATGTGTTTTTTTTTCTTCTTCATGATATACAGTAGTTTTTTACTGTTGCGATTTAAAATCCATTGTGAATTATAGGTATCGTATACGGTATACATCACATACTGTATATGTATATTCCAGTGTCAATTAAAATTATCCACTGTGTTTGTTAGATCTCAATAATGAGATGCGTAGTGAGTGTATATTCGCGCAAGCTTGCGTGTGTTTATTGCACAAATACATTTCAGCCCACAATTCTTCAAATCCCCTTATACCGTACAGAGTGAGTGGTAGAAGACACGCGACAGATAAATGAGCTCAGCTATGACTGTCATAGCACAACTTGCTTTGATAACCAAAGACTGAGAGCTCAGCTTACAGAACAATTTGGCCCAAACAAGTGACAGAACAACACTCATATGGCTGCAAAAGCAAACAAATTATATATATATATATACACAGTTTATCGATAGATAGATAGATAGATAGATAGATAGATAGATAGATAGATAGATAGATAGATAGATAGATAGATAGATAGATAGATAGATAGATAGATAGATAGAACCTTTTATAGATAGATAGATAGATAGATAGATAGATAGATAGATAGATAGATAGATAGATAGATAGATAGATAGATAGATAGATAGATAGATAGATAGATAGATAGATAGATAGATAGATAGATAGATAGATAGATAGATAGATAGATAGATAGATAGATAGATAGATAGATAGATAGATAGATAGATAGATAGATAGATAGATAGATAGATAGATAGATAGATAGATAGATAGATAGATAGATAGATAGATAGATAGATAGTTTTTTTTTTTGCACAACCCAAACATAAAAGTCATGAACACAAAACTCTTGGCTGACCTCCAAACGCCGGCCTCATCGTGAAATCGTGGTCATCTATTCTGAGAAGCTGCTCCGATTTAGTCATCAGAGATTTTGTCATGTCAGGGCTTCTCTTGTAGATTGGGCTGCGGAAATAAAAACAATTGAAGTAGACATGGGCCATTTAACGACATTTCCTCGATTTACTGTGAAGGGAATGAATTAAATGATTCTTGTTATGTGCTTGCTATTACTTTTAACGTGATGGGATCATCTCTAAATGCTCTGAACTCCTTGATGAGCATCAGCTCATCTTGGCCTTTATCTTTGTCATCAAAGTCTCATCGTCCCTTACACAGGACAGTAGCTTTGTATCACGCTTATCTTTTCCTAATTTTACTATCCAAAAAATACCATGGAATACAAATGAATAATGTTATGCCATACAGGAAGTCTGCATCAATATTATCATGCCGTTCTTGTTTAAAAAGTAAGCACGCAAGCACTGCTATCGGGCTTTCGATTTTGACAAGTCAATGATCAATTTCACTCAATCAATAGAATGCAGCATTTAATCGAATTCCAGTGTTTACAATTAGAACTATAAAAAGAAGATCTGGAAAAAAATAGAATGCCTCTTCAAAAAAACAAACAAACAAAAAACTCACCCTCATGTTATGCCATACAGGAAGTCTGCATCAATATTATCATGCCGTTCTTGTTTAAAAAGTAAGCACGCAAGCACTGCTATCGGGCTTTCGATTTTGACAAGTCAATGATCAATTTCACTCAATCAATAGAATGCAGCATTTCATCGAATTCCAGTGTTTACAATTAGAACTAACTATAAAAAGAAGATCTGGAAAAAAATAGAATGCCTCCTCAAAAAAACAAACAAACAAAAAACTCACCCTCCTGTTTTGTGACCTGAACCTCCATCCATTCTTGTTTCCCTTCGGGACCTGATTATTGACAGAAAGTAAATACATTTTAGAGTGTTTGTGGTTGGCAAGTGTGCCTCACAGTCAAAAGAATCTCAATGCATATTGTAAAAATGAATTCCCAGACTATAAACAAATACAAAGATTTTTCTGTATTAAAATCTTGATTTTTGTACTACCATATTTCGGAATGTGGCAGTTTGTGCTGCGTCTCAATGTACATTCCGGCAGAATGAGGGCATTTTCTTTTAAATTCCCCTGGCCCACCTGACAATTTGGTAACAGAAAATAGACTTGATTTTAGACCAACGTGATTTTGGTAAATTTGACCAAGGGAAAGCAGACAAATTCTGCACTCCGCTGATACAGTGCGTGTGTTGGACGTCATCGTAGTCCTTGAATAAATGTTCCATGAACCTGAATTCAATGCTCTGAATCTTTGCAGATATAGATTCATTGAATAACCCATTACTATCATCTTTGTTATAACTATTAAAACATCCTCCAAGGCACGGACGGACATGAATGACTGGGGTGGAATACAGTGCCCACTTCACAGCGGTGATCTGTGATTGCCCTGACCAACTCTTTAGACCATCCACCCGTGGAGGTCTATTTGCAGTCCCATATAAATGTACTTTGCACGCTTCAATCTCCTACATGGACTCCAGTGAGTTTATTTCTGCTTCCACAAGGTCTAAGACTGTGTGTCCCTCTCATGCGCTGACTTTTCGAGGAATGAATGGAGTCACTTTCATTGGCCGGGAAGTATTATAAAAAATGATGAGATTTAGTCGAGAAAGAAAAAAACAGGAAAAAAAAACATGGCGAGACACCATTCACATATCTGTCAAGGGAGCCCTCTCCCCCTCCGCGTCTTGCGCTCTCATTTTATCATGTTGGGAAGTGGTGAAGGTCAGCACAATCAGTATTTTGAGCAGCTACACAGTGCAGGCTCGTGCATGAGCAGGCAACTTTGCTTATCTTCAAAATAACTGGTCAGCATTCAAAGGTACGTAGAGTTACTTATATTTTTGCCCTGTTAGATGTCAAATTCCCATTACAAAGTAAGTCATCTTTGTTCACTCCCACAACAGCGCAAACGCCCCTTCCTCACTGTGCTCGTATATGAAAATACCAAAAGAAAGAAAACCCTACTCATGCGCATATTTAGACTGCGCTTTACGCTAGATTTGGGCGGGGCTTAAAAATAGACTCCGTGTGCAAATTAAATGTCAAGAAAAGCCCACAAGCGTAGCTGTTAATCAGAGGTACTTGAAATGGTGGATGTTGTGTCCTGACCTTAATTTAACATGAGCTTGATTGTGACTAATTAGTTCTAAACACAGCCACGTCCTAGTTATAAGGGTGTGCACACTTGCACAACGCAATATTTCAGTTGTTTTTACAAACCTTCTGGAAAAGATCAAAGCATTTTTTTTTTCAAATGTGTTGTTCACTGATAACATTTGTGACGAAAAAGGTTTTTAAAATAATTTGCCTTGGTCAATTATTTTTATATCACAATAACTTGACATTTCAACAGGGTGTATAGACTTTTATATCTACTATATGTATGGACTATAAATAATGCATAGGCTTACAAGAGGACACATTTTCGATCATTCTCTCTACTGTCAAGATCTCTCGTGTGTGTGTGTGTGTGTGTGTGTGTGTGTGTGTGTGTGTGTGTGTGTGTGTGTGTGTGTGTGTGTGTGTGTGTGTGATTACATCACACACACTTCAATCCAAGCATCAATCACACATAGGCCAAAAGGGCATCATTTCCTCATGGCGTCCAAGTTGAGTGAAGGCGTCTCTTCTCTGATGTTACTCTTCCAGGGGCGTGCCGTCAGTATACGTTCATGGCTTAGCCGGCTTTCGTCATGCCACATGCGGCACGAGAGCGAGAGAGAAAAGATGAATTCCAAACCCTCTAAAATGGATTAATGGAGTCCAGCATGTTGTGACAGACAGAGACAAATCCCTCTGACAAGCACAGACGAACATAAAGACGACAGCACAGAAGCAGGAGCAAAGAAAGAAAGGAGGGAGTAGGGGGCGGGGGAGGAAATAAGGGCAAATCATGGGCGCTGGCTGCACCGATGGCCGATGGGTGCTACTCGTCTGCTTGCATCCAACAGCTGGTTTCTAATCCTCTTGGCAGAAATGACGCTCCAATCCCCTTTCGGACTGTCATCAGAACACAACCGACTGGCTGTCTGCACTCCGCTTTACCTCGCAACACTTTCCCCTGTGTGCTGCAGCCTCGGGGGAGCCCTAATCGTAGCCCTACTCAATTAAACTATAACAGTCAATTTGAATCTCAAAAGTGAACATCATGGATGATTAATCTAAGAAACATTAAACACACTCATAACACGCAGCAGCGTGTTTGTGTAATTTCACACTTCTGGGAGGGGGCATTAGGCGACGAGAAATGAGAGATGATTCCCAGCATGGAGAGGATTGTGTATTCGGCACAGTATGTAACCTTAGAAGCGGGTATAAAAGTAAGTCAAAAACCTTGTGTGACTTCAGCTCAGGGAGCATAAACCCCACAAGTGTTTTTTTTTTTTTTTAATTACATTTTGTGCCCTTCCAAGACACGACATCGGAGGAAACTGGTGTGTGGTAAAATGTGACGATGATCAGAGAAGATGCATTAAGCATATCTCCGTCCTGGCTGCTCACTCAAACATGCTAAATCAAGATTGTAATATGATGTGGTAGCTTACTGACCAAGGTGATTCATTTGTTTTGTGACCAAGCTCGTAACTCAAATGGCTTGTGTCAAAGAGAATGTAAAGAAGTAAACTGATTTCATAACGTGTAAATACGGTAGGTACTGTAGTGTTAGTGTGTTGCGTATGTGCCTTTAACTTGTTCTTATATTACCTCTATTTTTCAACATTGATTATTATGTTCACCTATAAACACTGGTCAATAAATATTTACTTTTTTTTTTTTTAAATCGTAGATTCAAGTAAAGTTTTCCAGATGAATATTTTGCACGTTTCCAGATGAATATTTTGCACGTATTCCAAATCTGTCCTCTTTCCTTTTATGGCACATTATATTTTCATAGTAGCAATCATACTACTACTGCCATTACTACGACTATTACTACTACCACTACGACTAATATTAATAATAATAATATTAAATTAAGCATAAGTATTATATTATGTTATCTATATGAATTAAGGGTTAGGTTATGCATTACGCAACAGGTGAAATTTCTGAAATGCCATCGCTATAAATTACAATGCATGGTAAAATCGGCATTGCGCTTTTGTAGGTTAATCGTAAAAGCAATAATCGAAAATATCGCAAAAAACAATGCGCAAAAAAAAAGGATGTATTAGGTTGTTTTGTGGTTTTTTTAATCTGTGGAAAAAAATACATTTTGGGACACATAAAACCATCTCTGATTAAAATTACTGACGACCAGTGTAAAAGCAACAACAAATCCACACCAATAATAATAAAAGAAAAACTGAAGTTACACAGGAGAGTCTTCTTTTTTTTTAAGTCTTTACATAAAAAGAGTTGACCCTCCCAGGCAAATGCAGTAATCTCAAAAAGGCATTTTAATCATTGCTGTTACAGTTAATAAAGGCCCCATGATGACAACAACTAGACCCAGGAAGAGATTGACTCATTTCCAATTTGATGTGGAAAAAAAAAAAAATGAAATAAGGGCTGAGCAGCTGACTGAACCACAGAAAAGATGACTCCAGATTTGAGAAGAAAACAACACAGGCGCCCGCAGGGATTACCGCTTTCAATCACGTTTGCATCCATGACTGTGCTCCTCGTTCTACTTGACAACCACAAATCAGCCGTGAGATGATTAGCGACAAAATGGTGCACAGTGGCAGAGTCGCAGCCCAAATGACCTGAGGCTCGTTCATTCCGGCTGATGATGCTTAGCTGTTTAATGTCTCCACTGATCTCTGAAACAACATCTGGACAAATGATAGTGTATCTAAAGGCAGTCGGATTATATGATATGTTGGGCTTTGCTGTCGCTAAACTTGGCATTTATGAGAGTCTTATCATCCTCAACAGAAATCGTGCAATCAGAAGTTCATTGCAGCCACAGGCTACGACTCAACCGATACCGTATTGGATGAGATAACTGATTGTAAATGTGAAACGATGGGAACTTGTACGTATCTGCTAGTGCAGTTTTTCTTCTTGGTTTTAGCCATCAAAGGAGTCCGGTTCTACACTTATAGCAAGTCTTTTAATTTATGATTAGACTCACAATTATTTTTTCATGAAGTTGTAAATTCATGATGAAAGTGAATCTTTAATCTATATCTACACTCAAAAACAAATGTCGCCGTCAACCTGATGGATGCATAATTAAAGTTGGAAACAGTTCAATTAATGTGTTAGTCTGGATCAGGGATGGGTTCTTTTTTGTTGGGGGCCATTCTAGTTCAGTCTTCTGAGGGCCACAATACATTGATGAAAATAAAAATGGTGCCATCATCAAAAAAAAAAAAAATGCTTCTCATAATAAATTATGAACATCTGTTGTTGTTTTTATAACACTTCCTCTGGTGTGTTATTTATTTATTTATTTATTTTGGAATTTGAATGGCGGACTGTATTTGGTCAATGAGCACAATTTCCGTTTTGCCAGCCCTCGTGTGCTTTTGCTCGCTACTTTAATGAATTAATCGGGAGGCACTCTCAGTGTATGTATGCCCTGCTATTGGTTGGTGACCCATCCAGGATGTAACCCACCTTTTGCCCAAAATCAGCTGGGATAAGATCCAGCTACGCTGCAACCTCAATGAGGACACACACGACAAAGAAAATGGACGGACGGATTGATTCATTTTGGAGTCACTTTTCAGGAAATATACAATGAAAAAAAATGGTGTTGAATTTGCTCTCTTTTATTCTGTCAAGTGGCTGCACACAATAGAATGACCTGGATTTCGATGCATTTTTTTGAAGTAGATGAATAGTCCACTTAAAAAAACATATCTGTATCCAGATGATTTAAACGACTTGACAAAATAAAATCGAGGAAACTCAACACACCATTTTTTTCAGTGTACGTCACAAAGAATTATTTCTGACTAGCCTTTTCCATCATTTAATAGTCTACTCTAAACACTTATTAAAGCCTTAAAAACCAATGGGTAATAAATGTACGTTTTAATTGCAGAAATGGTGAGCAAGACATAAACCCTGGGCGAGGAAAGGTTGTCTGGAGCGGTTGTGGGGCAAAACAACTCGTCAGTGGTTCATAAATTGATGGAGGGATTTAGGTCTCCCTTGCGCTCCAATCTGTTGTATGGAGAAAAAAAAAAAATCACAAACGGGAGGGGCGAGGTAGCACACAGGTGACACAGGAAACGCTGGCCCACATCCTGTCAATCCAACCTGATGAACTCCTTTTCAAGCATACACAGCGCAAGCGACTGAAGCAACAAGCGCGCACGTTCATTGCTTTGCCCTCGTTTGTACCTGCTTTGTTTAAAGGTCTCCAGTTTGTGACCCCGCGACCGAGCCATCTTCCCGGCGGCGCCTGCCAGGCAGGCACAGATGAAGAACACAAGCGCAGTATCCACCCGCATGGCTCACATTCCCCGGAGGACGGACCTCTCTCTCTTTCTCTCTCTCTTTCCTGTCAGTCAGAACGTGCTCCTCTCTTGGGCTCCAACTACTTCCTCAGGCATTCCCTCATCCAGCGTCTGAGCTCCTACTTTGAAAGAAAAAAAAAAAGCAGCAAGCAAAGCAAAGCTACACTGGTTTATTCTACGGCCCGGGTGGAAAACATCCTACGTCCTCCGGTGCTTAATCTCCACAGTGGGAAAAGCAATTTTGACTAAACCCATAAATCCTTGAGCGTCAGATGGTGCAGATTTGATCCCTGCAGCGAGCGGAGGATGTGCCTGCCTCTCTGCTGCACTCACTGATGTGTGCTCTCTGGGCGGTGCAATGTAGAGTTACTTTGTACCGCCCAGAAGCACCAATTCCCACAATGATGCAGCGTGCTCATTTGTAAGGTCAACGCTTTGGAGATGCAGACTCACGGAGGCTGGCGTGGAGGAGGTGGATGAAGGCGTGGTGGAGGGCTGGCCTGAGGTGGATATGAAAGGCAATTTAACTCCTTGTGAGCCTCTCGTCACAAAAATCCATCCATCCGTTATCTATGCCACTTATATCCACACGAGAGTCACAGGTGAACTGGAGCCTATCCCAGCTGACTTTGGGCTGACCCTGGACTGGTCTCCAGTCAACCAATCACAGAGCAGAAGAGACAAATATTTTTTTCACCCTCACACTCACCCCAAAGGACAATTAAGTCGTCTTCATTTAACTTGGTAAGCATGGAAAGAACATACAATCTTGACACAGGAAAAAGCCCAGCGTCAAAACATCAACCTCAGAATTGAGGTGGATGTGCTCACCGCTCAACCACCATGCTGGCCCATAGCAAAAAAATGTATGCCAGAAAAACAACAATGCAGCTGGATGCCATATATGTTTATGTCTTAATTGCATGCCAGTGGGTTATTTTCATTCCACAAAGGGTATAATTATTAAATAAAAGTCAAAGCAACAGCAGGCGAGGAATAAATTCACATGAATAAAATTGGGATGGTGTGAAATAAAGTTGTAATATTTCTAGTCATAGATAATTAAGTTGTATTTTTGAGAAAAAAAAACAGAAAGAAATTGTGAAATGGCCTTTTTTTTTTTTTTTTTAAAAGAAAAAGACCTAACGTTACAATATAATGCTACAGTATGTGTTATGGAAAAAGTTGTGTTGCAAGAAAGAAATGTGATTTTTACAAAAAAAAAGAATGCTGTTTTTATGAGCAAAAACTAGTAATAATATGATAAGAACAGGGTCATAATCTTACAAGCAGGGCCAGACCTCCTATGAGGCAAAACATGCAATTGCTTTGGGCCCCAAGATTCCCAATACAACCCCCCATTGTCTCATAAAAACTGATTAGTAACGTTTTCTTCAATTTAAAGTAATTATTGATTTAGTTTTAGGTTGGGCAGCATGGTGTTAGACTGGTTAGCACCTCCGCCTCACTGTGCAGAGATGCAGGGTTCGATTCCGGGCCCTGGTCTTCCTGTACAGTACAGAATTTGCATGTTCTCCCCGTGCCTGTGTGAGTTTTCTCAGGGACAAAAAATTCATTGGTATCGCCCTATCCACTCTTGAGGACTTGCACACCGCAAAAACCAGGACAAGTGAATGGAAAATCCAACTGGACCCCGCACACACTGCCCACCATCTCTTTCAGCGACTCCCCTCCAGTAAGCGGTATGGAGCCATGCGCACCAAAACCAGGAGACATTCAAACAGCTTCTTCCCTCTCGCCATTAACTCCCTCAACAGTGACTCAAATCTATTATGGCCCTTAACAAATTTTACACACCCCTGTGGGACAATTTTACTACACTGATCATTATAGCTCCAGCTCTCTAGATACTTGAACAATTGTTGTTTACCAATATTCCACAGCACTAGACACTTTAAAGCGCTCAAGGATTTTCTGCATAGATGCACAAATAAAGTTGTACAACAATTACTGCTACTGGTCACTTAAAAATATGTCCAACAACTGCACAACCGTCATAGTACTGTATCAGACCACTGATCACTTTATCTCTGCTCAATGACTCTGCACTTAAGACAGCTGTCATTGGTTGGTAGTTGTGGTACTACTGCACATTGGTAGCCTCACATTACAGAAAGTCTTTCCATACTCATAGTCTATAAGTTATAGAACATGTCTATGTTTACCGTACTTGCTTGTTATTGCAATACTAGGGTAGCTCATACTACCGGAGACAAATTCCTTGTGTGTTTTACATACTTGGCCAATAAAGATGGTTCTGATTCTGATTTTTATCTTGTAAATCTGAAAAGTTGTTTAACAAACATGCTGAAAGGCATTGTAACCAAAATTAAGTGTTTTAGTTGACATAAATATTTTCCTTTTTACTGCTCATGAATATTGGCTTCAAATATCCGTTATGAGCCTCATTGACTACTAATAGTTGATATATGTATCGGCTTTGAGTCACCAAACCATATGGGTCTATCTCGAGTGAGTACTAGACTGGTCTGCCAGCAATCCAGACCTGTCTCCAATTAAATATTATTGGCGCAGTAAGAAGCGATGGGACAAGCCCATATTTTTATTCACAATAAATAGTGGGAGGTACTGTGGTCACGTGATATGCAACGAGGAGCAAGTACTTAGCTGGCTCTCCAAATCGCCAAACAGAATGAGGGGGACTACAAACTATTTAGTGCTACACATAGTGCCTGACAATATAGTGAATGAGATTCTTGGGGATAAAAGTGGGCATACTGCACAAAGTGCACAGAATACTGTAGTTTTATTGTTACTATGAGGAAGCGTTACGTGTCATGTGACCCCAATAGGGCCTATCTTTCGCTTTAGCTCACGTGTTGACTCACAGGCATACCGCGAATTTATTATTGACCTCTAAATAACGTCACCACATGCAATATTTCTTACCTGGTAGCTTTTATTTGTAATTCAATTTAGTCGGCTTCAAAATGTGTCTTTACCCCTGAATAGAGTTAATAACTTTTTACCTGACAGTTTGTGATGGGGGGGAAAACTTTTTCGATATTCCGATTGGTTGGCAGTCCGCTGGCGGGGCTTTGTAAAGTTACGAACTAGAAATACAATCCATATCACAACGGGTGATGTTTCTTATCATCAGTCCTAGTTCACCATCGGCCACCTAGATTACCCACAACGATGTGTTTTCATGAAAACTACGCGTAAAAGTGTCTGTCAGTCAGTCATCGTTGCTTTTTTTCCGACGCAAAACATTCAGCTGAGCGCGCTCAACTCCACCACTGTCAGTCATTTGTTAGCAAGTGGCTAACATTGCTTGAACTACAGGATGAGCTTTTCACGGGAGAAAAGACGTAAGTATTCCCTTGGACGATCTGCTGCAATTTCACCTCGACGAGATCGTTTACGCCGATGGTTGTCACGTCCTTGATATTGTCGACTCGTTGGCGACGACTGTTCTTTTGCAGTGCTGGAGAAAGCCAAATGCAAAGCCCAAAACAGCAGCAATTTAAGAGAAGAGGCCGACATCTGCAATCAGCTTGGAGAGCTGCTATCAAGAAACGGTAAGTGATCGATTTCTTGCTTCAAGGATAAAAGGCAGAATAATGTGTGGAAGTCATGTCTCAGTTGAATTGTCAACAAATCCCCATATGCTGCTATTTCTATTTATCAGATAACATGGCACTTGATCTGCATAAAGATAAGCGGAAACAAAATAGCCACCGTCTTCTGGAGCAATTTCAGATGGAGAATCTAAAGATCTCATCGTCTATATTTTCTCTATATGCTCCCGTTTCTTTGTGTGTGTAAAATGACATTAAAAGTGCAGGAAAACTTTTTTTTTTACGAAAATTTGATTATTGTTCAGTTGTAAGGAGCACTTGTATTTTACTTGGCATACAACAACGAAGATAACGGATCACTTTATTACTTGATGAAAAGGTGACATGAACGATGCTTATAATAATGTGGATTAATCGAAATTAAGATTATTTTTGTTGTTGTTTTATACAAATTATCATTTGCAATCGCTATTGTAACAAGTGTCATTTTTTAAAGGCTTTTTGTTGGTTATTTTGAATAAAAAATACATTTAAAACATACACATACTAATTATTTTATTTGGTACAGTATAAGAATAATAATTACCTGTTTTTAAATGTTAATGCCTGACATTTTCCCACTACTGTATTCTGTGTATCATACAGGGAAACATCCCACACACATATGAAAAATGTTAGTAAAGATTACAGTATATGCTTCTATTGTTTGGGTGATTTTACGTTTTCAAACTTTGAAGTCAATCTGTAGAAAGAATTTTGATTGTGTGTATGTGTGTTTCTTTCGCACTTTTGTTTTGTGTGAATTTTTTGGGGCGGTCTTTTTTCCAGGTGACTATGAAGCTGCCATTGAGGAGCACCAGCAGGAGTTGTCACTGTCGGAGGTGTTAAATGACGTAATTGGACGAGCGGTAGCCAATCGTAAAATAGGAGAGTGCTATGCAGAGCTGGGGAACATTGAGACTGCACTTAAAGTGAGTTAATCTACACTATGTAGAAGTATTGATTTGCAAACAGGTGTTCTTTATACTGTGCAAAAATGTGTTGTGTGCCTGTCTTCTCTAGCATCAGCGCCTTCACCTGGACTTGGCTCGCTCTGTCAGAGACCACATTGAGGAGCAGCGGGCGCTAGCCACGATAGGTCGAACTTACCTCTTCTGCTTCGAGTCCGACCAATCGAGGAAAAGTCTTGAACAAGCAGAAGATGCCTTCAGGAAGAGCCTTGCCATTGTTGATGATCTAAAAGGTGTGAACCCACTGCTGCTCTCTGCTCCTTTTCTGTGTCAATATAATAATACCTTCAATTAATCCTTGTGTCTGTCGCTGTGTGTCTTTTCAAGGGACGGTGCCAGAGCGAGAGATTCATGAAATGAAGGCTCGACTTTTCCTCAATCTCGGTTTGGTTTGCGACCACCAGGGAGAGCCCGAATGCTGCAGCGAGTTCATCCGACGTAGTGTCTTCATCGCAGAGTAAGAGCCGCCTCAATGCACTTACAAAAATAAACACACTTGCAAATGTTGGCTGTTGCTGTGCCTCACCTCTGTTGTCTTGGTGCATGCGCTTCGTCTCCTCTCAAATGAAAGGTGTTTTATGCAGTTTCCCGCGATGCTATTTTGATGTGCAATGGGAAAGTCAAGCCACTACTGTACCCTGGAAAAAAAAAGCAAAACTGCTTTTTCGTCCACTTGTGTATTGGAATGCGTGAGACCTTAGAAAAAATGTTTTCGAGGAGGCTACATTGTGTATGCCTCCGAACATTCATAAGTATAAGTACAGAAGAACCTCAACTTTTCGAGTGAATATTTCCAGAGGTTATGATTTGACTCGTTCAGAAATAATGGAAATGGAATGAATATGTGCCGCTGGAAGTTAAAGAGTTTACAGGTGATGTCTTTGAACCACTTCTTTGCATTGCTAATTGTCATATATTTATTGTATGTGCAGAAGTGAGTTTTTCAGGTAACTGTTGGTAATTGTCAAAAGAAAATAAGGTGAAGAAATTTGTACATTTGAAGCGTGTTGGACCCCTTTTCTACAATAAGCTCCTGTTTACTTCTCGTGTTATCAGTATTGTTATTGTTTTGTTTTTCATGTTATTGCTGATACCTTTTGAGGATAAAAGGGATAACCCCGTCAGATATTGGATAGATGTTTAATATTTTCCAATATATTACAGGCTGAATTTCATCAAGCTGTCTGAGAGTCCTCTGTACATTCAACGCTGACCTTGGTCTCTTTTTTTTTCCCCTTCTTTGCTCGCTGTTAACTCTCTTCTCCTATGCTCACAAAAAAAAAAAAAAAAAAAAGGAAAAGTGGGCTGCTCGAGGATCTCTATCGAGCCAATTACAACCTGGGCAACATCTTCTTCCGCAACGGCCAGCACTCCAACTCCGTGCGCTGTCTCGAGCAGGCTAAAGAGTGTGCCCGAAAGATGAAGAACAAGTTCAGCGAAAGCGAGTGCTTCCACTGCATTGGCAAGGTGACTTGCTCTTCGATAGAGATGGAAGAAAACAAAAGATGGAGGTTCAACTAAACATTCAATTTTGTGATTTCTTTTTCTTTTTTTTTTTTTTTTTTTTTTAATACATCAGGTCCAGCTTTCTTTAGGTGATTTTGTAGCTGCGAGACGATCCCTTAAAAAAGCTCTATTGTTGGGTTCTCAGCAGCAACAGGACAAGCAGACGGTGAAGAACATGTTTATATACGGTAAAAGAGCTTTTTTTTTTTTTTTTTTTTTTAAATATACTCAACATTCAATTAATTTTTTTGTTGCGAAATGTAAAAATATTAATCCACTATTAGCTTGTTTGTTTAACAAATGCCATATGCAGTGTGTTTAAGTGCGTGGCTTCCATGGAGGACTCTAATCTGCAGAACATTTGACACAAATTCCCACTTCTTAAAAATGAAATCGTCTTGAGTGATGGTTAGATAGTGATAGGGCTGTAATGGATGAATTGAAATTTAAGTGTGATTTTCATTTTGTTTTCCCACGATCTTAAAAACTGATGAAAAACGGTTACTATGGCAAGCGGTCCCATGTGTGGAAGCAAGTTCTTGTGCTGCTTTCAGCAAGTATGTGGAAGTTCTAATATAGCAAAAGTGATATGAACGATGTGTTAAAAAAAACAAAAAACGGCATCAGCACATTCATTCACATTCTCACTAAAATATATTGGCATCTTCTCCCATGCACGACCTCGCTTAAACGTTTATTGGGAATCTGTTGTGTGTGTGTGTGTGTGTGTGTGTGTGTGTGTGTGTGTGTGTGTGTGTGTGTGTGTGTGTGTGTGTGTGTGTGTGTGTGTGTGTGTAATCCTGCAGCAACTGTATTTGATCTGCCATCAAGTGTCAAAATTTTTTTTGTTTGTTTTTTTTTTTAAATAAATTCAATAGCCGACCGGGGCTGCAAACTGGAAGAGGAGTTGGGGGAGAATCCGGCCAGAAAACTGAGCTCTCATGAGGCCATCGGGCTGTCAGAACAACTCGGAGATCTCTACTGCAAGGTCGGCTGCTTCCACAAAGCGCTGGAAGCATATCAAGCTCAGGTGATTTTTATTTTGCGTGTTGTGTTTTAGTTAATTACATTTTAAATGTAATTTATGAATGCTCTTTTTGAATTAATACCGTTTATCCATCCGGATTAGCTGAAAGGAGCTGAGGCGCTGGCGAAGCCCGCACGTGAGTTAGCAGTCATCCACGTGTCTCTGGCTGCTACCTTTACTGACCTGCGGCGGCACGGCGAGGCCGTTCAGCACTACAAGCAGGAGCTGGCGCTACGGGGGGGCAGTCCGGCCGAGGTAATCCGATTTGCGATTGATGGGGGGGGGAAAAAACGTGTCATTCGCACATCAACTTGAATCTGCGTGTGTGCCAGGAATGTAGCACTTGGCTAAACATTGCGGCCGCGCAGGAGGAGAGCGGTGGTGCCCCTGAGGATCAGGACAGCAGCTACAGTGCGGCACTTCACTGCGCTAAGAAGTGTGGGCAGGCCAGGCTACAGGTGAGGAAGCCTCTGATGGGAACGGTGACATGGGAGAATGTTGGGATGTTCTGAACTCCTATTTGCTTTTGAGAGGATCAACTCCTCGTGACTGATGTTGCGTCATTTCATATTATTACCATGTTGCTGTGTAGGACCGAGACAAATTAAAATAGTGGGCGCTCTGTGTCTTAGCCAGAGAGTCGCGTCCGTGTTGATTATACAACACATAAATGGCTGTTCACAGTCTTGCTCTCCAAAAGTGTTTATCGGAGGCACACAATGTAAATTTTGACTCGCAAACTGCCACGCAAACCTGCTTATTTCGAGCCTTGAATTCCCCTCTCTCAATTGAATCGTCACGATGAATTATTATCACAACTAAGGTAAGTCCACTCACAGAAAAGACGTCACCCACCCCCAACCTAACTGCATTTTCGGATCTGTGTTGCCATGGTAGCAGACAGCTGTTATAACAGAACCATGCACCTTTGCAGCTTTCCGTTGGTAACATTTATTTCGGAACACTCATCAGTAGGTGCTACTGATATTTATGGTGATTATGTTGAACTCCGGACAGCATTGAGCCCTAGTGGTTAGCACGCCTGCCTCACCATCGAGAGGTTCTTAGTTCAAATCTCATATGTGGAGTTTGCATGTTCTCGCCTTGCTTGTGTGGATTTCTGCAGGTTTTCTGGCTTTGTCCCCGATTCCAAAAACATGCGGGTTAGGTTCATTAAATTAACGTGAGGGTGAATGTTAGTAGTCGATCTGTATGTGCCCTGCAATTGCCTGGCGACCAGTCCACCGCCATCTTGCCGAAGGTCAGATGGGATGAGCTTCAGCTGACTCCCAGCCTAAATCAGGACAAGTGCTGCAGAGAATGGGTGGAGGCAGGGAGAGCTCTCCGTACAATACAATGTACCTCTCACTATAAACATATTGGTAAATGAATACCGCTCAGAGGGCTTCGTTAAATCAATTTGGAAAGACGTTTTTTACATGACTCTTGCATTGTGCATGCGGTGGCCAGTGAGCTTGCATATGCAGCAGTAAGTTCAGGTTTTCTTCCCCTACAGAAGCGCGTTTTGAGGCTATGGTTAGCGGCACAGAGGCGAAAGTGCTCGTCAGACGCCAACGACACCGAAGCTAAACTGCTGGAGCTGTGTGCCTCCGAAAACTGGAGTCCAGATGGCAGCGATGGAGAGGAGGAAGCGGAGGAGGAGATGGATAACAGTGAACCTCTGGATGATAGTGATGTTGTCCTCTCAGACTCAGGTTCGCCTGTTCTGTTTTTTTTGTTTTTTTTTTCACTTAAAGCGTACATAGCATGCAGTGGTTCTCAACTTGGTCTCTTAATGCCTTGTATTGTTTCTAGACGACGACCTCGAGGGATATGACAAAACGGTATCCGGCAGGAGGAAAGCAGGACGGGTGAGAGGGAGGCAGAAACATGATTTCTCTCACACAACTTGAAAGATAAATTTCCGCTGCACTGCTTATTTCTGCAGTGGAACAAGAGGAATGAAAAGGGTGAGACATCCCTCCACAGGGCGTGCATAGACGGCAACTTGAAGCAAGTCCAGTATCTGGTAGAACAGGTGGGTCAAAGATAGATTTAAATATATAAAACATGCAATTTTCATGAACGCATTCATAGCATCGCCTTAGTTAGCATCGGGGGAAAAAAATCGGCCAATCTGCACAATTTCCTTATACGGCGTATAGACCAGACTACCAGGCATTTATATGGGGGAGGCCTTTAGTTTTATTATATTTTTCCACAAACTGCTGATATAAAGTATTCAAATAATATTTTCTTTCTTAAATTTTGGTCAAGTGAGTTGACAAAACATTGTCTCTTTCCTTGACGGGTGCCGACTAGCATTTCCTGACAGGGGCCGGCTAGCATACAGCTAACCGGCCCCCTGTCAGGGAGGCATTTACACAAACTGTTATAATTCTAAGATCTGATACTATTTGCCTGATTTGGATGGCATGGCTCAGTGGAAGAGTGGTCATTCAATTCATTGCAACCATGTCGAAGTGTCCTTGAGCAAGATACTGAACCCCCAGTTGCTCTGGGTGCTGCGTCACCAATAGGTGAATGAGACAACACTGTGTGACGCACTTTGAGTACCCGAGGTAGAAAAGCGCGAAACAATTGACAGCCCATTTACCGTTTAAATACCCTCAAATTATAGCGGAAAGTCTGCAGTTAAAAAAACCCATCTTGTTCATTTCATTCTAAATCCATTCTGGTGAGGTTTACTGACAAAAAGAACACAATAATAATCACTCCTCTTTTCATATTGAATATTAATTATTTCACGTCATTCTATGTGCATCATAATGACATAATTGGTGAGCAAAAATGCTCCTAAAAAAATAAAAACATATTTTGAGCCTTGCAGAAAAAGTATGCATGCTGGAATATTGAGCTTGTGTCAATCACAGATTTACTTATTCAGTTTGAAATCTGGGTTTGCACAGTTGAACTGAAAGCTGATATATTTGCAGGGAGCCAGACTAATTCTGAGGTAAATAATTATAATATCAATCATAATACAATAATTGTAATAATGCTGTGAACATATACTTTCACTTTTAACCTAACTATAAGACATCATTGAGTCAACGCATACCTTAAAATCGAGATCCGAACCAAATTGCGGATTTTGTGAACTGTTCCACCCCTACATTATAAATATTTATTGAACCTTTGCTTTAATGGAGGTCACTATTTGCGAAAGCCTGTTTGCTTATGCCGTCAGGGCCACCCAGTGAACCCCAGAGACTATTGTGGCTGGACTCCTCTGCACGAGGCCTGCAACCATGGTCACTATGGTAACCGATTTGAACTCTTTAAACTGCTGGACTGTTTATGTTTCTTTGAAAGAATACCTTCTCACCCTCTCCCTCTCACTCCTTTATTTTCATCCAGACATCGTGGCTGTGCTGCTGGACCGAGGTGCCAACATAAACGACCAGGGTGGCAACTTGTGTGAGGGCGTGACTCCTCTCCATGACGCCCTGACCTGTGGGAACTTCCCGGTGGCCCGACTCCTGGTGGAGCGAGGAGCATCCATCAACCTCCGCAACGCTAAGGTACGCGTATGTGTGTATTGGTGCTCGTGTTACAATGCGTTCTCCTGTGTTAAATTGTTAAGCAGCATTCTTAACCATCATTAAAGTATTAACCCCTCCATAGTAAAATATAACACTTAATTTTAAGGTCAAAGGTGTAAAGCGTGAGGAAGTTAGCCAGATCTTGGAAATGTTCGCTTTTTTTTGGGGGGAAGCCAGATCTTGGAAATGTTCGCTTTTTTTTTGGTGGGGGGGGGGTGTTTCGGTCTCATGATGTCTTTTCTCTATGTCAGGGTGAGACTGCAATGGACACCCTCCGTCGATGGCAGAGAACATACAAAAATGAGCTGGACCATGAGGCCAAGCAAGAGTGTGCAGCGACTGAGCAACTGCTAAAGAAGGCACTTGCAGGTGGTAATTATTATTATTATTATTATTATTATCATTATTAGTATTATTATTATTGCACCCAAAACATTCTCTCACATCAGATCTGATTTCCCCGCCCCCCACAGTGCCGGTCACTGCTCCCCCTCCCAAACCTTTTGATATTCTGCAGGACAGTCAGCTGTTTGACGCAGAAAACTCGGAACCACTTTCATCCTCTGGAGGGGGCTTTGTCACCAACCAAGATTGGCCCAGGACTAGCGATCGGTTAGAGGAGAATGCTTATCCAAGCCTGAAGAAGCGGCACCTCGGCTGTTCAGCTCAGCGGCTCCGAGCCAGAGGGACCGAGGCCGCTCTTCTTTATGGGGTAACTAGTGTATTGATATACTACATAATTTATTAATTTGTTGTTCAAAGCTGAATGTTGACAATTTTTGCTTTTACAGTGGATATAAATTCTCCACTCCCATGTTCAAATGCCAAGTTTTTGAAATGTTGTTTTTTATAAGACAAAGATAAATAACTTACATTTTTTCCCACCTTTGTTGTGACATTTAAGTTGTAAATGGCAATTGATAGGAAATGAAATCTTTTTGAGAGTGGTGAGCGTGGAATTAAAATAAACAGCAGGGAAAGTTATGCATCTTCTAGCGTGCTGTCGGACTCTTGGTAGCCTCCTCTTTTCATTTTTTCACCATTTACTTGCTCTTATTTTTTTTTGATCAAATCCTAGTAATTTCACAGGGAATTTTTATATCCACTGCATTTAGTTTGTATGTAGGGGTTAATGTCGAGCTTCGGGTGGAGGGTATATCATGCGTGTGTATGGCTGTGTATTTCGGTATGTGTGGATAAAGGATGTGTAGCTCTCAGGACGAGTGTGTGTCTCACTGTGTCTCTTAATACTTAAGAATCACTTTTGCTCAAGCCAAGCTTTCAGCCATCCTCTTGAATGAATAATTACTTCTTCCCAAAACGAGGGCTTCAAAACTAGGTTGTCAGATAGCTGTAATAAGTGTAAACACTGTCCATTGAAAGAGACACATCTCCGATTTGAAAGCCAAATCTATTTTCTTCGGTGGTCTTGCAGTTTTTCAGCAAAGACAACACTGTTCATGTCTTCACCATTGGAGTGCTTATACCTTTATATACTTACACGCTGTGAGTTGTTTACCACCTTGGAGAGAATCAGAATCATCTTTATTGGCCAAGTATGTAGAACACACAAGGAAATTGTTTCCGGTAGTACAAGCTACACTAGTATCATCAATAACAAGTAACTACGATAAACAAGGACATGACAAATAAGTATGGAAAGACATTCTGTAATGTAAGGGTACCATTGTGTGGTAGTACCAACAATGACAGCTGTGAGACAATGCGAGAGTAACAAGCAGAGGTCAAGTGATCAGTGGTAGAATACAATATAACAATTGTGCAGTTGGTTCTCCTATCCTCTCAGCCATGAGTCTACAATATAATCTACAATATAATATGGGCTATGAGGAAACACTTAGTACTCTCTGCATTTCGGTAAATCAGCATTTGTTTTGTTTTCAGGATAAGACCAGTTCTTCAGATGACAGTGACTCCGACAGCCCTGTTAGTCCCCTTCATCCGGTCCGCCAAAGACTCTCAGTCCCAGCAGTTCAGTGTCAAAAAGTTCCAACGCCAAATGAGGGGGCTGATTCACTGACCAACCCCGGCAGGCAAAGTGGGCACGATCCGCCTGCTCCCTTCGTCTTTGCGCAGGACGAGTACCACACTGCCATCCGAGGGTTGGGCAGCGCGAGGACCCTCCTGCAAGGCTGCTCAACACAACCTCATTTCCCCACCTTGTCTCGCCTTTCCTCCAGCAGCAAATCAGCTCTGATTCCCGAGGAGGACTATCGGGATGATGACTGGCTGGAGAATGATTTGATGGAAAGTCAGCCCAAAAAGAAGAGGTTTCGAGTTGAGCAGAATGGAGCGAGTGGGGACAACACTATATCTCCATCTGCGAGAGCGCCAAACTCTCAGATGTCCCACAGGAGTGAGAACCCGTAACATATTTCATCTCTTAATTGTGTCCGGAGTTTCTTCAATATTTGTCTTGTTTCAGGTTCTACACTTCCACCATCCAGCACCAGGGGGCCCACTGTGAAAAGGAACACCTCAGTCAAGCCTCAGCAAGTGAAAATGACTCAGATGCCAGGCATGGTCCGTTTGGGCAGACGAGAAGTCAACAGGTCACATAGCCCCACCCTGACAGATGATGACGCAAGACCAGAGACCCCTCCCCCACCTCATTCAATACACATGCAGGTCAGTTTTGGGCTACATACTGACGCAACTATTCAAATGGTCTTTTTTTTTTTTTTTTTTTTTTTTTTTTGCCTTTAAAAAAAGTTATAATCTTCATACATGAACCAGTCACAACATCAACTATACTTGCAATGTACAAAATCATATCTATGTCGTAATTTTTTTTTTCCAAGATAAAAGTGCTCAGTTTTGATTGACACAGTCCGAGATATTAATTAAACAGTGTCCATTTTCTGTAACGCTTGTCCTCCTTCTGGTCGTGGGAGAGCTGGGACCAGCCATCGCAGGGCGCATATAAATAATTCATTCACACTTGCAATGACAGCTACATTTTTAAATAATTTTCATTTTGCGTTCATTCAGCCTCTGATTCAGGGACCGGCTCTTTCCACCCCTATGTCACTGCCTCCACCCATAAGGATGAGGGTCAGAGTTCAGGACGACATCTTCCTCATCCCAGTTCCGCAAAGGTTTGATGAAACAGCAAAAAACATTTAGTTGAGTTTATGTAGTGTTGTTAATCCGTCGTCTACTGCAGCGAAGCAAAATCTTGCACGGTGTCGTGGCTCTGTGACCAGGCAGCACAGCGTTACTACCAAAAGTGTGGCTTGCTGCCTCGCCTGTCGCTGCAGAAAGATGGCGCTCAGCTATCCCCGCATGACCTTCTGTTGGACATTCTGCACACCAACGAGGAGGTTCGGACCGCATTATAACGTCTTTGTCCGAACAACATGAAGACTGATCAAGACTGATGTTGCAGGTGTTGGCTGAGGTGTCGTCTTGGGACCTCCCCCCTCTACAGGAGCGCTACAAGAAGGCGTGCATCAGCCTGGCAGTCGGTGAGCAACCAACACACATGCGCAGATATCCTAATTCACTTATATAAAATGTACTTTTAAATGCTCATACTGTATACCGTATTTTCAGCACTGTAAGGTGCTTCGAAGTATAAGGCACGTCTTCAATGGTTGGTCTAACTGTTTTCATATATGGGGTGCACCTCATCATAAGGTGCATAGAATAGAAGCTACAACAGTGTCTGCGACTGCGGTATGCATCCACTAGATCAGGGATCGGCAACCCAAAATGTTGAAAGAGCCATATTGGACCAAAAAATATTCAAACAAAAAAAATATATTTTCACTCCCCCATCTTTTTCCATTTTCAAACATTTTTTAAAAGCTCCAGGGAGCCACTAGGGCGGCGCTAAAGAGCCGCATGCGGCTCCGGAGCCGCGGGTTGCCGACCCCCGCTCTAGATGGAACTACGCTAAAGCAAATACAATACAGCTTTATTTATATAGAACTTTCCCAACCGCTGGGGCTGTAACAAAATGCTTTACAGAACATTTAAAATACTGCGTCCAAGAAATTGAAATATTGATCCATATATAAGGCTCATCCGATTAAAAGGCGCACTGTCAGCTTTTGAGAAAATTGAATGCTTTCAGGTGTGCCTTGTAGTGCGGAAAATATGGTACAAATAGTTGGGTCTCTTCAAGTATTATCTTTTGTTTTTTTCCAAGATTTAAGCAGAAGAATCAAATATATCAGTCAATCAACAAATCCAAAACAAAATCTCTACCTTCTTTCTCCCGATAAAATAGCCATCTGTATTTCATTACCTTTTTCCAATTTCAGAATATTCATTCATGCTGCAGCACAGGTCCATCTTTGAAAAACACAGGAAAAGCAAAAAAAAAATAATCATGGGGGGGTGAAAGAAAATTGCCTGGGCAGCCAAATACGAGCAATTTGTTGAAATCATCCTCTGTTTGAATTGCATTTGGTTTGTTCAATGCTAAGTAATACATTTCCATTATTTATCGGCTTGTGTGGGTTCAAATTAAGACTCCATGCAACTACGTAGTTGTTAGGTTATGCGTGTGCGACTTCTCTCATCTAGAAACGACACGATTGATCTAGGGCGTCATTAAATGCAATAAGTGGGGAACCAGCTTGCTTGTCACCAAATAATATACGTTTGTTAAACTTTTGCTTGAAGTGAAGTTGTTTGGACGTGTCAAACCTGTCGCGAACCTGTCTTTTGCTCTCAAATCTCTGACGATGCTGTTTCTTGAGGGGATTTCTTTATATCAGGCAAGGCAGACGTATTTAAGCCTGTGCGCGTGTGTGTCCTTGCAGAGGAAAACAGGCGCGTCAGTCGGCTGTGCGAGATGCAGGACGGGGGATCCTCTGTGTTGGTGTGCGGACTCGGCTTGGCCTCCTCTTCCCTCGCCGCTCTCCTCCGTGCCCTCAAGCTGCAGGCCAGCCTCACCGAACTGCGCCTGTCAGGCAACCGTCTCGACGCCAACCTCGTCACTGAGCTGGTCACCAGTGCCGCCACCATGCCACACCTCTGTGTGCTGGACATTTCAGCTAATCAGGTCACAGGAGAGGGGCTTGAGAAAGCAGCAAAAACCTTAGCAGGACTCAGCCATCCGGCGTTTCCAGTAAGTTGCATTTTTGTAACTGCTCTGATCCAGACTGTGATGAAAGTTTTGTGGCACAGTCCATTTTATGATGCTGGCTTCTAAAAGTATGAAGAAGAGTTAACCACCATATAATCAAATAAAATTTAAGTGAAATTACTCAAGCTGTCTAAGATACCCAACAGACATAATGAAAACGGAACAGGAAGATGTTAACAGTGTGGCGTTGTCACCTAGTGGAATTTTGTAGGTAACGCTGTTGTAATAAATTATGGAGTGGAGTAAAATATTTTATCATTTATTAAGTATAAACCACATGTCTGTATAGATAGTTGATATTTAAGTCCCATTTCCAGATCTATGGCTGCCATAGTTTGCCCTCTTCAACCACAAAATTCAAAGAAAAAGAAAAACCCACTAAAGTTAATTTTAGATGCTTTAAGGTAAAGATGTATTAATGACATGGATGATGTCCCACATGATCATAATTGGAACTTCCAAGTTTTGTTTGACATTTGAGGCATATTTTTCCAGGACATTTCACTTTAAATTCAAATTATACCACATTTTAAAGATCTCCAGAGTAACTTTAAAGGGGTTTGTACTTCCCAAAGCTAATAATGCTCAGTTTGAACGGTGTGCAGGTCAGTGAGGCCGAATCGCAACTGTTCTTAAACGCTTCACTGTTCAAAGAAGGCAAACATGACAAGTTGAGTTCCATCCAATCAGGAGTTTCCTATGGCACATCTCCTTGAGGGAGCATTATTCTGCTCTGACAGGAGCATGGAAGCAGGAGTTCAGAACATTCCAGCTATTACACTCATGATACAGCATTATGAAAACACCTACAGTTTTTGCCAGACTAAATTGCCTGGACTAAATCATTTAAATCAACTTTGCCCCCATCCCCCTTTTTCTGTTTCTTTATTTTGTTGTTGTTGTTGTTGTTGTTGTTGTTGTTGTTACTTAATTTAATGAGTCCCAACTGACATACACTAATAGCATTCTGTATGACGGGAAAGGCATTCACACTTAACTAACCAAAGATAATGTACATGTTACTAAAATAGTGATTTATCAAAGTGTTGGAAACCTTTGACGATTCTTCTAGTGTCTGAAGGAGTTGAACCTCAGCCTGAACCCGCTGGGTGACAGTATATCAGAGTCTCTGTCCTCACTCCTGTCCGCCTGCCCGCTCCTGGCTGAGCTGTCTCTGCGTGGTTGCGAACTGACCTCTCGCTTCTTACAGCAGCATCGCTTGCTCCTTGCCAGCGCCCTAACAGGTGGCAACATTTGTCCTATAAACGGATACAAGCCAAGCCTGTCTCCGCAGTCAATGAATATACTATTCATATTGCTAATACCTCAGGCACGGGCCACCTGAAGTCTGTGTGTCTTTCCCACAATGCGCTGGGATCCACCGGATTTGAGCTCGTGCTGAAAACGCTGCCTCTGCACACGCTCACACACTTGGACCTGTCGGCTGTGCGCAGGGGCACCACCGATTACCCGGCACTGAAGCACCTCACCATCCTCCTGTCACAGGTACATGCACTCGCAGGACCTAACATGAAGTAAAGCTGCACCATAATTGGGTTGACAAATGTTACTGATTTATTTGGATTTGTTCTCGAAACAGTTATCCCCATGCTATTCACGTAAGATCTACATGTTAGAATGTACACATTAATGATGTGGGTTAAAAACATGTTTTTTTTTCTCCCTTAGGATAACTCTTCACTAACCCATCTCAATCTGGCAGCTAATGGTTTAACCGACAGCAGTGCATCCACCTTGGCCAGGTTTGGTGATAATTCATCCAATTTTGTGGGGGACAAAATGATATTTTTTTTTTACGTGTCGCACAAACAAGATTGCAATATCTGTGATTGGCTGGCAGTCACTCTCATGTTGACTCAGCCTCTCGCCCCAAAGTTGGCTGTGATAAGTTCCAAACGGTGACCCTAATGAGGGTAAGCGGTATATGGAACCTTGCAATATATATATATATATATATATATATATATATATAATTTTTTTTTTTTTTTTGTGAAATATCGGATGAATATGTAAATTGGGTTCACAGCTTTCCGATCAAAACCATCCATACAGCCTTTTTCTACTGCATTGTCCTCACCTCAGGTCACGGGATGGCGGGGTACACTCTGCACTCTTTGCTAGTCAATCGCAGCCCACTCACAAATATCACAAAATGTATTTTTTTTTAATTCTGGAAAATGTGAAAATTTTGATCCAATTTTGTCCACTCATTGTCATCATATTTATTGATTTAGAGGTACTTAAGTTCAGTTTTTAGAACTATCAAAGGAGAAATGCATTTATTTTCACCATTTAAAATGGTTCCCAATTGTCACATTAACAGTTCTCTACCATGCTTCGGTCAAAATGCAAGAGGAAGTTTGTAAGTTTTATCAGGATCACTTTTATCATGTGGTGTTTAGTTTTATGGTGTATTTATTTTATTTTTTTGTTGATTTGTTTTGTTGAAATACAGATACATGAAAGAAAACTATACTGGTCTTTTGAATTAATGGCATGGTAAATTGAGTTACAAGCTTTGTCAAGAAATGAATTAAACTCCTAAGTCAAGATAACTCATTTCCTGTACCACGTCCCCTCTATAGTCTAAAATTTGACTTTCTTCAGCCAAAAGATACGGTTCCTGAGTAACTAAACATATATGCACTTTTATGTAGCCTTTGTCTAAATTGACCGGTTGTCGTCCTTTTGTTTTTTAGGTGTCTGGCTGTATGTCCCAGCTTAGTGAATTTGGACCTGTCGGGAAACCCGTCCATCACCTCAGTAGGATTCCACAGCATCCTCTGCGCCCTCCGAGAAGGGCATCGGCCGCTGACTCTTCTAAACCTCCAAGGTAACTTCTTTTTATATCTATAGATAGATAGATAGATAGATAGATATGAGAAAAGTATAGTATGTAGATGTTGAATTCCATTTGTTGCGCCACCTTCAGGTTGCCAGGTGTCGGGGCCTTTGGACAGCGAGGATCTGGACGCTTTGTCAGAGCTGGTCCAAGACCTGCGTCTTTGCTCTCAGGGCCTCAACAAGCTGGACCGGCATGCTTTAGAGCAGAGCTGGACCAGTCGTCATCCTCACGGCTATTTTGTAGACCGAAAAGCAGCGTGCTTCCTTTCTACTGCGGCCGCGGCCTCCTCGTGACTTTAGTGAAATGTGCTTGCAGACCAGAGACATTAGCAGATATTTGGTAGAATCCCATGTCATTGACAGCAATATTTTATTGCAAAATTCTCGGTTTGTGTGACGACTTATATCGTGTTGAACTTGGTTACGTGATTGTATTTTTTATATAAATGCTTTGTTTGCTTTGTATTTGTTAAAAAAAGAAAAATTAAAGAAGCTCAAATTTGTCATTATAAGGGAAATCATTTGTTTGTTTATGTGTAACGTCAACATGTAGCCTACTGATAATACAGAGTCCAGGAATGCCAAATTACCCGATTCCCCCAAATAGTGGCCTTCGCTTTACTGTGCTGTATGAATGGCAGCCGTCGGATACACAGATTAATTGTACTATACCTTATAGCAAAATAGCATTTCATTGTTCTGCCTGTCACTCCACGTTGCTGGCAATAATAGATGAACGAACATTATTTGGGGTTCATAGTTTTCAGGCCTATTAAGTAAAGCCTTATCATTTCTCCTGGCGAACTTGGTGTCTCACTGCTCACTCATACGCCAGAGCAAAAAAAGACACATCATTTCAAATAAATACCCCAGAACAAAAGTTATCTGGTGGCCTTAGGTTGATGACTTTTCCAAAAGCTTCATACTTTTGCGATGTCTTAAATGGGTACAATGACTTTGTCAATAGACTCAGTCATTGCCTTCCGCCATACTCAAACATTCAAACATTGTTTTCTGTTTATCAGCAATTTTTCATTTTTGGGGGTAAAAATAGTCACGAGAGCATTTGGAAAAGTTGCTAAATATAGTGAGAACGTCAGTAATTTGGCAACACGGACTGCTTTTGAAAACGAGCTCCACTCTGTTCGCAGCCGTGATGTTGGTGGAAGCTGTGCACAGCAGCGAATGGCAATGGCTATTTGTATTCATATAAATTAACCTGGTGAACTTTTTTTAAAACAGCTCATGAATATTATGGTTCAAATGTCCTGTACTGTATACTGCAAAAATAAGCAGTGGTTCTGCAGAATGACCTCGTTAAATCGCAATGAACTTTTTTTTATTTTCTTTAACTATCCTTATAAATATATATGAGAAGCTCATGTCACACTGCAATGAACTTCTGTGCATGTTTGGAAAGGAATGCTGGTGGTGTCACGACCAAACAATGCTACCACATCTCTCCCACTATTACGTAACGTCTTTATGCCTCCGTCTTCATCTCTCAAATGACTAAAACCTACAGACAGTTCAACAGTATATACATGCTGTTATAGTACAGTGTTTGCAAACCAGAAGAATTATATCTTTTCTGCATTCGGCGGGGGGAATGGTTGTGTCACTCCCCGAGGCAAGAAGTTTACCTCATAAGGTTCACTGTACATCAAAGAAAATAATCAGTTGGTGGGCGGCACAAATATGGAGCTCATCTTGGCAACCGGCGGCTCAGTAACCTCAGTGGCTGCTCATCAATGACTCTGCTGCTGAGCATAACCCTAGAAGGAGAAGGCTGGGCCAATCAGGGCGCAGCACTGAAACTCTCGGCAGCCACTCACACACAGCCCGAGCACACTCGGGCTTTACCATCAGCTGTTGCACGCATGGCTGAGGCTCAGCGCACATACCAGCCGCATGGTTTTCGCACATGCAATGTTTTCATCTCCTTAACAAGACACCAGCGGCGCTGCCTTGACTGTGTCATCAGAGTGAGCCTGAATGGTGGGCATGAGGAACATGCAACTCTATAGTCACACACTGTGGATCAAAATAACTTATGAAGCAGGGATGTCCTGAATTAATTTCACAGGATGTAATTTTCTTTTATAAAACTAAATTAGAACTCGCAGGACTTTGGAGTGCCCCTAAATGGTTACACTTTGCTCCTAAAATTTCAAAGAATGCTTGTACATTTTGGATCTTTCCTTATACCTTGCTAAACCAGTAAATGCCATTTCTATTTTTTTTTACTATTCTGAATATTTCTCTTGATCATCCACTTGACAAACAAAACAAAGAGCCCACATTTAAATACCACTTTATTCAAATCTGAGTCTTTTCATTTATTTATATATATATATATATCTATATTTATATACTCATACGTGTGTGTGTGTTTATAAATTTTCTGTTGCCCCCCCCACGCACACACACATTTCATCCTATTTAGCGGTAATATAGTGAAGATGAGTAGAGTGAAGAATTTACTTTGCACTAAATTTACACTGTCCGTCCCTAAATAGTTAGGCAAGGATCCACTATGCTCGTGTCCTAGTTCAAAAAAATGCATTTAATAATTTCATAGATTATTCATGAGCAAAGAGAGAAAAAAATTCTGGTCAAAACTGTGTCTGCAGTTGATAAAATGAATTCCACAAACTGGACATTGGAGATCATCTGATAACTGGGGGGTGTTAATATCCTGTTAACTGCAATTCTGCATATTTTGAAACTTACCAATGATATTCCCGTTGTATTCTATCAAAGGAGGGAAAGTGTTTTCTCCTCCTCACATTTCTGGTCTGTATCGCCTTGCATCTGTGATGATAACTGAGCATAATTTGGCTGTGAAGCAGTCATTTGCCAAACACTCCCTTCCGTCTGGCTTGTAGATTTCTTTTCTAGCGGCACTTATTTGGATTTGTGTGAACTTTCAGACACACCCCCTGGTCCCGGACTTTGTCTGGGTCTTATTTAAGGGGCTCCACTCAGCCTCTGTCCTTGTCCCAGTGGAAGCATCCGTCCTCAAGTGCACCTTGGTGAGTATACCTCATGGATTTTTTTAATACAACAGTCTTCTTTGCTGTTGTGTTCATTGAGTTCACGGGTTGCATGATGGCGATTTAATCTTGTAACCATTTCGATCACCAAATAGAATGCTTGAATTCGATTATCTGAAGCAATTGATTGCTAGGGTGAAATTAACGATTGAAATTCACGATCGAAATTTCCCGATACACTCTGAAGTGTTTTACATCACAGATAATTCCGCTTATTTCTTCATTACAAGGTGCCAAATTTCACAATATGCTGTTAAAGAGTTTGCCAAATGGGCTTGCTCATATTCACCCATAAACAGAGTTTATTGGTAGTTAGATTGATGTAGTAAAACCAAAAGTGTCAAAGTGAGACAACAGCTGGATACTGGCAGATCCGAAATAGCGGTAGAGGATCCAAATGTCACTTGTGTTCACCCTGTTAACCTCTGTGAGGGGGGTCGGGCCTAAAATAGACCACAGGTCTCTCTCTTATGACCCTTTTTGGTGCTACCTCAGCAGCTTCTAGGAACAATCTTGGAGAGATATCGTATCAGTCATTTGACAACGGGGGTGGGCAAATGTATGGGCTCGAGGGCCGCATTTGGTTTGAACAAGTGACGGATTGGCAAGGCCATATAGGGAGAAGGTTATAAAAAGACTCCAAGTGTATGCAATATGTAAACATTTTTCATTTTACTACTTACAGTACTTGTTATTGTGATTTTCATTGTATTTATATTTAAACTTTAATGAACCCGCCTTGTGTTTCTTTTTTCATTTCTTTATGGGTATGTGTGACCCGTTGTCCAACAGTAAAAAAAACAAAAAAACAAAAAAAAAAAAAAACGTTTTTATTTTTAAAAATCAGACTGCAAAAAGAAATTGTACACATTTTTATTATATCCCTAAATGCGAAAATACTTCATATACAGGTATCATGTAAAAAATAATTTTAAAGGTCATGAAACAGTAAAACAGAAATGTTCATCAGTCAGCCAAATGGAGAAAAAAAAGAAATAAATACTAAATAGTATGATCATATATAGTGCATATTATTACAGGACTTTAATCACAGCTGTTTTGCAATAAGGTCCAGATCAAAATACTGGCATGTACAGGGGCATGTCTAATTAACAGCCTAAATATAAACCCCAGTGTTGGGTCACATTATTAGGTTAATAAAATTTTCGGATATTGCTGGCAGGCACTTCATGCCATTCATCCAATAACTGTCTTTTTCTTCTCCAAACACATCTCAGACCACTCCAGTAAAGCCTAATCATGTGTGACGACGACGAGACTACCGCCCTTGTGTGCGACAACGGCTCAGGCTTGGTCAAGGCTGGATTTGCCGGAGATGACGCTCCCCGTGCTGTCTTCCCTTCCATTGTTGGAAGGCCCCGCCACCAGGTTTGCTTGACTTGACCATGTACTGGTCTTTTTTTTTTTTTTTTTGCTGTGGATCAAAAAGGATGGAAAGTTGAACACAATGATTCCGTCCGCAGGGTGTGATGGTGGGTATGGGTCAGAAAGACAGCTATGTCGGTGACGAGGCCCAGAGCAAGAGAGGTATCCTGACCCTCAAGTACCCCATCGAGCACGGGATCATCACCAACTGGGATGATATGGAGAAGGTGTGGATTGACATTGATGGTCATTAACGGCATTCGTGGCAGCTGACCTTCCCGAGCCGCCACAATTCACAGCTGACCACAATTGGCACAGCTATTATTAACAAAAGTGCCGTACTTCGAGGAAGAGGTTGCTGTTATGGTTTCAGTTCTGAGAGCGGTTGCTGTCTTTTGCCAATCAGATCTGGCACCACACCTTCTACAATGAGCTGCGTGTGGCCCCTGAGGAGCACCCCACCCTGCTCACGGAGGCCCCTCTGAACCCCAAGGCCAACAGAGAAAAGATGACGCAGGTGAGAACGTCAACTTTGGCGGCGGTTTTCTTGAAAATCACCATTGCATTTATATTTACCTTTGATTTGTCTTTTGAGCTATCCAGTTACTTCCTTTTAACTGAAGTTCAATAAACCAACCAAGAAAGTGGGAAAATGGGCACATATGGGAAAATGATTGCTAGATTGTTGAGTCACACTTTCTGTCTCGACAGTCTCTTATTGGCTCGTTTTATCATGCCTTGACAAGTTTAGAAAAAATTACTGAAAATTAAATTAAAAGGCGAAAGATGGGACGAAATATTGAAACTTAAGGTGATAAATTGTGGAATGCACTTGCATTTTAACGAAAAGCTGCCTCTTCTGTATATGTATTTAAAAATGTGTTAGTTTAGGCAGGCAATACAGTAAACGTAATTGTTGATGAATTATGTCATTTGGGGGACTCTGTGAATAATTTTTTATCACTTTGCTGGCCTTATTTTGCAGATCATGTTTGAGACCTTCAACGTCCCCGCTATGTATGTGGCCATCCAGGCTGTTCTGTCGCTGTACGCCTCTGGCCGTACCACCGGTGAGTACGATTATTCTTTTATTAGGCACAGTCAAATACTACGGGTCCAGTACTTAAAATGGTGGCAAAGTGAGAAATGTTCACACTTATTGTGTCAAATATGGGAGGATTCCTCCCCGACTATCAACAAGAGGTGTTAGTCCCACTCCGACAAGCTATGTGCAACTTGCTATTGGCAGGATGAAATCATATCTGATGTAAGGCATACTTCAAGTGAGTGGACTTTTATTTGTCAGTCAATAAAATTCGGGATGTTTTCTACTTCTTAAAGGTATTGTGCTGGACTCTGGCGATGGTGTGACCCACAACGTCCCCATCTATGAGGGCTACGCTCTGCCTCATGCTATCATGCGTTTGGATCTGGCTGGTCGTGACCTCACTGACTACCTGATGAAGATCCTGACTGAGCGTGGCTACTCCTTCGTCACAACTGGTAAGTCCACTCATCCTATTTAATTGTTTTAATGACGCAGAGGTGTAGTTCCTAAACTTAAACACTGTGTGCCACAGCTGAGCGTGAGATCGTGCGTGACATCAAGGAGAAGTTGTGCTACGTGGCTCTTGACTTTGAGAATGAGATGGCCACCGCTGCCTCCTCCTCCTCCCTGGAGAAGAGCTACGAGCTGCCCGACGGGCAGGTCATCACCATTGGTAACGAGCGTTTCCGTTGCCCCGAGACCCTGTTCCAGCCCTCTTTCATTGGTGAGTTCCTGTCTTTTGTTTCTCTTTTCTTTTTTTCTGCGTGATTGATACAGAGTAACGTATATGTTGCGCTTGTCATCTCTCAGGGATGGAGTCCGCTGGTATCCATGAGACCGCCTACAACAGCATCATGAAATGTGACATTGACATCCGTAAGGACCTTTATGCCAACAATGTGCTCTCCGGTGGTACCACCATGTACCCTGGTATTGCTGACCGTATGCAGAAGGAGATTACAGCTCTGGCTCCAAGCACCATGAAGATTAAGGTTTAAAAAAAAAACTTTTTTCCTTTTTTGGGGTGTGGGGGGTGAGTTGTCACTATTCTGTAAAGTTGCAAAACATGAAATGTCATATTTTTTTTCCCTCATCATAGATCATCGCCCCACCTGAGAGGAAATACTCCGTCTGGATCGGTGGCTCCATCCTGGCTTCACTGTCCACCTTCCAGCAGATGTGGATCAGCAAGCAGGAATACGATGAGGCAGGACCCTCCATTGTCCACAGGAAATGTTTCTAAATACACAAGCAACCTCATTCATTCTTGGATTTGTCCGTCTCCTGTATATATATGTTCTGTTGTAATAAAACTAAGCCCTTGTGAGAGTACAGTAACTTCCTGGTTTGTCATCTTGCATTCACTACCTTGCCAGCATGATCAACAAAGTTATTTGCACTGTCAATGAAACATGAATAAGCAATAAAAAGGCTTCTGCCAAGTGAATCAATGAAGTGGTACAGATAAGCTATGGTTGTCCTTTTAGCCATCCATTTTCTAATCGGCTTGTCCTCACAAGAGCCTATCCCTGGTGTCTTTGGGCAGTAGGCGGGGGATACCCTGAGCTGGTTGCCAACCAATCGCAGGCACAGGCACATATAGACGAACAACCATTCGTGCTCACAATCACACCTAGGGACAATTTGGAGCGCCCAATCAACCTGCCATGCATGTTTTCGGAATGTGGGAGAAAAGCCATGCAGGAACGGGGAGCACATGCAAACTCCAGTCACGATCTTCTTTAATCTGCTGGATATTTCACCTAATTTAAAAATTAAAAAGTTAGAAATGCATAAAAAAGAAAAACAATATCAATACCCTCATCACAAAATACAAATCCTTTTTTTCATACATTTATGAAGAAAATCTTCACAGTAAAAACACCATAGTTCGCACACAATGAATGCACATTAGATATGATGACGGTTTGCAATTCGTGCATAAAAAACAGAATAAATTAATTTAATGCCAAGGCTATTACCTATACTATTTCCTGTGCAACTGCAGAATTCGCAAAACCGTGGACGGGGGCTTTTACTGACCTCTAGTGGTGTTTATATTTCATGCATCCACAGGAGTGATAAAACGATTGCACTTAACCTCACCACTCCTGCTTCCGATGTACTTTGCTTAATTTTCTCCCAGCATATTAATATTTGACGTCATCATTTGACCTTTTTCCGGAAGTTATATGAACGATGCTTGTCGAAAAGGTGGAAAGTTGGCTCAGCCAATCGCACCGTGCGCATGCTCAACCGCTTTCGAGCGTAGCCGTTAATCAAAGGAGCTCACTCAGCAGGGCAGTCGCACTGAAGGTAATGCGCACGCTGTCATCAGGTAGATTGGTGAATTCGACATCGTTTGATCTGTTACCTTCGACTTGTGAAGGTTTGTTGTGAGTTTTATTTGCCTGGCATATCCAAATATTTTGTTGGTATTACTGTTGTTTTTCCCGACGGAGTTGGTCGCACTTAAGAAAACACGGACGCTGTTGTCAAGTAGATTGCTTAAATCGACATCGTTTTAGACGTTAACTTCGACCTGTGAGTGTGAGTTTTATTTGCGTGGCATATCCAAATATTTTGTTGGTATTATTGTTGTCGTTGCCCCCCCAGTTGGTCGCACTTAAGAAAACACGGACGCTGTTGTCAAGTAGATTGCTTAAATCGACATCGTTTTAGACGTTAACTTCGACCTGTGAGTGTGAGTTTTATTTGCGTGGCATATCCAAATATTTTGTTGGTATTACTGTTGTTTTTCCCGACGGAGTTGGTCGCACTTAAGAAAACACGGACGCTGTTGTCAAGTAGATTGCTTAAATCGACATCGTTTTAGACGTTAACTTCGACCTGTGAGTGTGAGTTTTATTTGCGTGGCATATCCAAATATTTTGTTGGTATTACTGTTGTTTTTCCCGACGGAGTTGGTCGCACTTAAGAAAACACGGACGCTGTTGTCAAGTAGATTGCTTAAATCGACATCGTTTTAGACGTTAACTTCGACCTGTGAGTGTGAGTTTTATTTGCGTGGCATATCCAAATATTTTGTTGGTATTACTGTTGTTTTTCCCGACGGAGTTGGTCGCACTTAAGAAAACACGGACGCTGTTGTCAAGTAGATTGCTTAAATCGACATCGTTTTAGACGTTAACTTCGACCTGTGAGTGTGAGTTTTATTTGCGTGGCATATCCAAATATTTTGTTGGTATTACTGTTGTTTTTCCCGACGGAGTTGGTCGCACTTAAGAAAACACGGACGCTGTTGTCAAGTAGATTGCTTAAATCGACATCGTTTTAGACGTTAACTTCGACCTGTGAGTGTGAGTTTTATTTGCGTGGCATATCCAAATATTTTGTTGGTATTACTGTTGTTTTTCCCGACGGAGTTGGTCGCACTTAAGAAAACACGGACGCTGTTGTCAAGTAGATTGCTTAAATCGACATCGTTTTAGACGTTAACTTCGACCTGTGAGTGTGAGTTTTATTTGCGTGGCATATCCAAATATTTTGTTGGTATTACTGTTGTTTTTCCCGACGGAGTTGGTCGCACTTAAGAAAACACGGACGCTGTTGTCAAGTAGATTGCTTAAATCGACATCGTTTTAGACGTTAACTTCGACCTGTGAGTGTGAGTTTTATTTGCGTGGCATATCCAAATATTTTGTTGGTATTACTGTTGTTTTTCCCGACGGAGTTGGTCGCACTTAAGAAAACACGGACGCTGTTGTCAAGTAGATTGCTTAAATCGACATCGTTTTAGACGTTAACTTCGACCTGTGAGTGTGAGTTTTATTTGCGTGGCATATCCAAATATTTTGTTGGTATTACTGTTGTTTTTCCCGACGGAGTTGGTCGCACTTAAGAAAACACGGACGCTGTTGTCAAGTAGATTGCTTAAATCGACATCGTTTTAGACGTTAACTTCGACCTGTGAGTGTGACATTGGTAACAATGCACATAACTCAGCTGATCGTCTTCTCAGCCTCAATCTTGTTGAGATCTAATTTCTTTGCTTTTGCCGCATGTTATAGGTAAGATGCCGCAAATGCTTCAAGAGAAACTTTCCGCCAAGATGGACTGTGAGCCAGCATTAGCCAGTTTCATAGGTAAGGGATTGAGATGAATTAAAATACGAAATCATTGTTAAAAGTTCAGTTTCTGCCTCATCACATTTCTACTTTCTGTCATTAGTTGCAACCATTGTTTTGTTTTGTTTTTTTTTTCAATTCAAGAAAATGTTTCTCATGCCCGCAAAAGACCAAATAATTGTTTTCAAATAACTTGCGAAACCATGTGAACAGTTTCAGCCATACATACAAAGTAAATGAGTTCATGTTTCACTCAAATCAATAACAAACCGATCTCGCATTGAATCTCCATTCTTGTTTTGTGTCACTTTGTTTCAGACAAAATCAAAAGGTCCGTGACGGCAGTGAAAGCGAAGCAATGGCATTGCGGCACCTACAAGCCCGTGACGCAGACCTTTTCCCATCACCCAAAGGGACTCCCTTTGTGCACTTCCTGGACTGTCGTCTCTCAACTGCCAGACACAGCAACAGACACTGAGATAACACTTGTAAAAAATCGAATGAGAGACGAGAATTTACCGGTCACAATGATGTCACAGAGATCATGATTTTCTTCTTTCTGATTGGACATTCTTGAATGTAATGAAATCAATTCTTGTATATTTGTAATTATAGAGGTTATTTTGGGGTTCTAGAGGTATATTTGTAATTATAGAGGTTATTTAATAACCAATATATATGTGTGGGTGTGTCTGTGTGTGTGTCTGTGTTTGTACATATATGGTCCACAGGAAAATGTTTCTAAATACGCAAGCACCTCATTCATTCTTGGATTTGTCCGTCTCCTGTATATATATGTTCTGTTGTAATAAAACTAAGCCCTTGTGAGAGTACAGTAACTTCCTGGTTTGTCATCTTGCATTCACGACCTTGCAGCATGATCAACAAAGTTGTTTGCTCTGTCAATGAAACATGAATAAGCAATAAAAAGGCTTCTGCCAAGTGAATCAATGAAGTGGTACAGATAAGCTATGGTTGTCCTTTTAGGCATCCATTTTCTAATCGGCTTGTCCTCACAAGAGCCTATCCCTGGTGTCTTTGGGCAGTAGGCAGGGGATACACTGAGCTGGTTGCCATCCAATCGCAGGCACAGGCACATATAGACGAACAACCACTCGCGCTCACAATCACACCTAGGGACAATTTGGAGCGCCCAATCAACCTGCCATGCATGTTTTCGGAATGTGGGAGAAAAGCCATGCAGGCACGGGGAGCACATGGAAACTCCAGGAATTCACCTAATAAATATTAAAAAAAGAGAAATGCATAAAAAAGAAAAACAATATCAATACCCTCATCACAAAATACAAATCCTTTTTTTCATACATTTATGAAGAAAATCTTAACAGTAAAATCACCATAGTTCGCACACAATAAATGCACATTAGATACGATGACGCTTTGCAATTCGTGTATAAAAAACAGAATAAATGAATTTAATGCGAAGGCTATTACCTATACTGTACTGTTTCCTGTGCAACTGCAGAATTCGCAAAATCGTGGACGGGGGCTTTTACTGCCCTCTAGTGGTGTTTATATTGAATGCATCCACAGGAGTGATAAAACGATTGCACTTAACCTCACCACTCCTGCTTCCGATGTACTTTGCTGAATTTTTTCCCAGCATATTAATATTTGACGTCATCATTTGACCTTTTTCCGGAAGTTATATGAACGATGCTTGTCGAAAAGGTGGAAAGTTGGCTCAGCCAATCGCACCGTGACCAAAGGAGCTCTCTCAGCAGGGCAGTCGCACTGAAGATAATGCGCACGCTGTCATCAGGTAGATTGGTGAATTCGACATCGCTTGATCTGTTACCTTCGACTTGTGAAGGTTTGTTGTGAGTTTTATTTGCCTGGCATATCCAAATATTTTGTTGGTATTATTGTTGTTTTTCCTGCAAGTACCAGCTAACATTAGCCTGGCGACTGCAGTATTGAACGCCACTTCCCATCTTGTCTTCACAACGGCAAGCCCACCCGTGCTTCCGATGTACTTTGCTTAATTTTCTCACAGTTTATTCATATTTGACGGCATAATTTGACAGTTTACTGGAGATTAAATTACCTATGTTTGGTGAAAAGGTGGAAAATTGGCCCAGCCAATCGCTATGTGCGCATGCTTAACAGCTTTCGAGCGCGGCCGTGAATCAAAAGAGCTCAGCAGGGCGACGGAGTTGGTCGCACTTCAGAAAACACGGACGCTTTTATCAAGTAGATTGATTAAATCGACATCGTTTTACACGTTAACTTCGACTTGTGAGTGTGAGTTTTATTTGCGTGGCATATCCAAATATTTTGTTGGTATTATTGTTGTCCCCCCCCCCCCCCCCACCCCAAAAAAAAACCGCCCCCCGGCACCCGACCTGATCAGTATTGAAGGCCACTTGCCATCTTGTCTTCATAACGGCAAGCTAATTTGATTTTTTTCGGAATCTTTTTTTCTCTACTCCATAGTTTCGAAAGAAGAGGGTAAAATGACAGTCGCAGAAAGAAAAGCGATTCGAAAAGTGGCCGGGCAGCATCTCCGTACAGCTTACGGCATCAAGGTCAAGAAGTGGAACGAAAAAAAACAAGTCCGGTATGAGTCGACAGCAACCAAGTCGGTAAGTTGGAGAAAACGTTACCAGTCTCATTTTCCATAAAAAAGTACAAGGTCATAACTAATACAGTATTTAATTTTGACCTCCAATCCGATGTGAAATAACAAGAGTTGCAGCGCGGTTCATTATTAACATATTCGATTGCGTTATGCAGTTGCGTCATACCTAGAGTAATAACACATATTAATAATATTTCATAATTAGATTGCGATCGAAATTGCGATCGATAGATGCGTTTTATCCAGTGAGACTCCTATAAATTTCAGTAACGAATGAATCATTTGCAAAGACAGCGTTTTGATCCAGCTCTTGTACACAGTACACAGTGGAATCATTGTCAGGTATTTCGAAAATACATAAGTAAAATATATAGATTCCGTAAGAGTTAATGTTGTGGCTGGCGACATGATCATTTTCACTGTGTTACAGTTATTGCCGTTTCAATATTTCTGAGGATATTTCAGATTCATTCTCATCGAGCTCTCCATCTGCCCTTTTTTGTTCTCAGACAAAGGTCTTTGGTGTGCCCTTGGAGTGCTTGCCGTGTTCTCAGATGGAGTATGGGAGTGTCCCTTGGTAAGTGAATACAGTCGTTTGCATGCATTGAATATTGGTCAAATTGCAAGTATGAAACATATCTCTGTTCTTCTAGCTTTCTGGTGGATGCATGCATGAACTTGCTGGAGCATGTCGACACAGAGGGCCTGTTTAGAGTATCTGGCTCTCTTGCTCACCTGAAGACACTGCAGGTGAGTGATTGGTTGACTGTACTCTCGCTTAGCATCGCTGACCCTATGAAAGGTCTTTCAGACATGAATTTTTGTTGTGTATGTCCAGAAAAAATTGGATTCTGGTGAGGAGTACCTGTCTGCCTGTCGTCCTTGTGACGTGGCCGGCCTGGTGAAGAAGTTCTTCAAGGAGTTGCCTGAACCGGTGCTACCCACCAAGATGCAGGAGGCCTTCCTCAAGGCACAGCATCTTCCCACCAAGGAGGACCGCACCTGCGCCACCATGCTGCTCTCTTGCGTCCTTCCTGATGCAAGCCAGAGTGTCATGCGTCACATCTCCGAGTTCCTGCTAAAAGTGTCCAAGAGGTGCTTACATTTTTGTGATTCTGATTCAGGAAGGACTTTTTGTCTCAGTGTGCTAATCCTTGCTCTCTGGGTTTGATTCCAGGAGTGCAAAGAATAAAATGGACTCCGCTAACTTGTCGTTAGTCTTGGCTCCCACCCTCCTCCAGTCCGGAGGAGTTACAAAGATGGACGGCAACGCAGAGAGACGCCTCCAACTGGAGAGGGATGTCCTTCACTGCTTTATAGAGAACGCCCACCACATTGGTAACAATGCACATAACTCAGCTGATCGTCTTCTCAGCCTCAATCTTGTTGAGATCTAATTTCTTTGCTTTTGCTGCATGTTACAGGTAAGATGCCGCAAATGCTTCAAGAGAAGCTTTCTGCCAAGATGGACCGTGAGCCAGCATTAGCCAGTTTCATAGGTAAGGGATTGAGATGAATTAGAATACGAAATCATTGTTGAAAGTTCAGTTTCGGCCCCATCACATGTCTACTTTCTGTCATTAGTTGCAACCATTGCTTTTTTTTTTTTTTTTTTTTCAATTCAAGAAAATGTTTCTCATACCCGCAAAAGACCAAATAATTGTTTTCAAATAACTTGCGAAACCATGTGAACAGTTTCAGCCACACATACAAAGTAAATGAGTTCATGTTTCACTCAAATCAATAACAAACCGATCTCGCATTGAATCTCCATTCTTGTTTTGTGTCACTTTGTTTCAGACAAAATCAAAAGGTCCGTGACGGCAGTGAAAGCGAAGCAATGGCATTGCGGCACCTACAAGCCCGTGACGCAGACCTTTTCCCATCACCCAAAGGGACTCCCTTTGTGCACTTCCTGGACTGTCGTCTCTCAACTGCCAGACACAGCAACAGACACTGAGATAACACTTGTAAAAAATCGAATGAGAGACGAGAATTTACCGGTCACAATGATGTCACAGAGAAGATCATGATTTTCTTCTTTCTGATTGTACATTCTTGAATGTAATGAAATCAATTCTTGTATATTTGTAATTATAGAGGATATATATATGTGTGTGTGTGTGTGTGTGTGTGTGTGTGTGTGTGTGTGTGTGTGTGTGTGTGTGTTTGTACATATGAATCTATTTTACATTTTTGCATCCTGTGTCAACATGAATAAACATGACAAATGTCTGTAACGACCAACTCATTCTTCTCGTTGCTTTGTCTTTGAATTATCAAATACAAGACTAAGAAGGAACGCTTCAGACCTAGTCACAGAATCATTTTGATTCACAAAATATGTAATGATGATCTAATTGATGGTTTCTGCAGATTACGGTGGAGATGCCATTTCTTAAAAAAAATATGAATTTTTCCACCATACGGTCATCGCCATTAAAAGAAAAATGTTTTTCTTTCCAAGTCACATCCACAGATTTGTGTAACATGGATCGCTGTAAAAATCATTTTGGTTCAATTAAAAAATATTTTCATCAGTCGCGAAACATACTTTTCTAATAATTTACCCCCAAAATGGCGAGATTTGTTCAACTCCCCATTTTCCAGCAAAGGCCCAACTTCCACACTGAGTAAGCAAATGTGTGCGTTCATGGAGACGTGTCATTATTTCAGCCTCCATACTTGATTATTTTTTTCTTAATTGACATTCTGAGATTGTTCTCATGGAAAATGCCTTGGACTCAAGAAAGAATTGAAACGCAGATCTAAAGTTAAATGAATAAAGATAACATTACAACACATTTTATTCAAAACTTCATGTTATTTCAAAAGCTTAGAAGCACTGACAATGTTAAATGAGTGTTAATTATTTTCAGTATAAAAGGCTGCCATAAGCATAATATTAGGTCAGATGAATTTGAAATGAATGAATGATTAAATGAGATTTTGAAATGTAGTCAAGTGAAAATGTGATGGCAACATCCTTAGATAAATACTCGCAGGAACAACCATTGTGAGTTTAATCATTAAACATGTAAAGCGACTGCAATTAAAGGGACATTCCGGTCGTCATGTATGCACTAAATTAAGCAAACAAACCAAACCTTAAACATCAACATCAGATGTCATTTCTCCATGTGCTGATTTTCTCATTCGCCCCTGTGACAACATTAAAACTACCGGGTCAAACTGTCATCAAACGATTCTGTGTGAACCAACATCTGCGCTTGTGTTTCGGGCAGCTCAATAAATTTGGGAAGAGAGAATATGTGTACGCTGAGCTGATAAGAGATTTTGTTTAAAAGGGCTTTCGGCAAGCTATCAAGGAGACACTTTGGGAGGTGAAGATGCTGTTCACTCTGTTCCTGCTACTACCAATCATCAGTTCGGCTTTGGCCTGGATTGTAAGTGACGCCGACTAAAACATGTAACTTCACTTGAGTGTCATCACTGTACATGTTTTGTTTTGATTTTTTTTTTTAACTTTTCCCAGCCAGTGGAGGACTGGGGGTCTGGTAATGTGACGTCGTCTGTGGGAAGTTTGGGTGAGTGTGTTTGTCACGTGTTCCTGCCTGACACCACCTTCCCTGCTGATCGGCTGCAGCACATGCAGGAGGTTAGCAAGGATCTGATCCAGGAAGTGCAGATACAAATGAACAAGGTATGGTGCGAGATCTCGATGACGTCTTACCTGGGCGTACTGCATTTTAGATCTCAGCAGAGCAAGACAAAAAAAAAAAAAAAACACACACACAATTCTCTTATCAAGAATATGTGGTGTAACATGTTCCTGCATTCATGAAAAAAAAATCAGTTCTCCCAAAAACAACACAGCATTGATATGTTGTCAAACAAGCCACAGAATTAATGAGTGAATATGTTTCGCTCAATGATCATCCATTACAGTACATTCTGAGGCTTGTCGTGTCAGCAACTGGACAATTTAGAGATCAATATAATCATCATGTTGCAACTTTTGACTGCTTCCATCAGCAATATTCTAAAAAAAAAAAAAAAAAAAAAAAAAAAAAGACAACTACTGACATCACCCGTCATATTTTTAGAGAAACTAAGTGTAGCTCTAATTCTAAATAAGCATAAGTACGAACTATCTCACTGATGTGTCTTTCCTTTTCTTTGCTAATTAATGATGTAGATAAGTTCTTACGAAGAAAAGCTGGAGTCCAACTTGAGAGAACTGAAAGGGCTGCTGGACAGAGTCACCATCATGGGCACAAGTGCTGACGACTACGTCAAACTGGACTTTGAGCTGCTCAGAATTGAGCTCAGAGAGTTTGAATCTCTGGTGTCTCAGCTCAAAGATGCCTTCAATTCCTCCTCACCCGTGTTTGACTCTCTCTATACCGAGGTGAAAGCGATATATATTTTTTCCTTTCCCACTGGGTATACAACCGCTGCTAATACTTTTTTTGGATCAGAATACCGATACAGTTGCATTTGTAAAAAAAAAAAAATAATAATAATAAAAAAGTGTGTTTATAAATCTATAAATAAAAGTAATGGGTAAAATCTCAACAAATTTGAACTTTGAGAACTTTATGACTTTTCCGGTGTGATTAAAAAATTCACTTTCCACCGACTTTTCATTCCAGATCCGCAACATGACTCTCATTGTGAACCAACTGGAGACGTACGACAAGAGCAACCTGGAAGTGATTCGCTTCCAGTTTGTCAAATTGCGGAAGAAGCTGGAGGAGTGCCAGAAGGAACAGGAGTTCTCAAAACCAGATATCGGTCCGTCACAGCTCGTCACATTGCATCTACAAAAAAAAAAGAGTATGAAAAAAGTCAGACTTTGTAACGCTATTTTATTTTATTTTCCAGGCAACTGCAATCACACAGGAATCGTGAGACTCAGCAAACCCATAGTTGGCCAACTGAACTCTCATTTGCAGCCAGGTTACATTTATGGCGGATGGGGGAAGGATTCCAAACCCATTAAAGGTTCTGAGTCCATGTACTTCTACAGTGGGTACAGTAGTACCACAACAAGTCACTTCTATTTTTACCCGGACTATAAACACCTGCTTCTGATGTCATCATCTGGATACATTGAATTTCCAGCTGGTTATAGAGGCTACGGTAACAATTACATCATTCATAGCAACAGTGTTTATTATCAGAGAAGTTCGCCTTTTAGCATGGGCAAGTACAATCTGACCAATGGCGCATATGATTCAAGAGTGATCCCAACTGCTAGCCTGGCCTTCTCATACAGTTACTCGAGTTACCAGAACCTGGATTTTGCAGCAGATGAAAAAGGATTGTGGGTATTGTATGCCTCTGAGGAGAGCAAAGGCAAAATAGTTATCGCAAAAATAGACGAGAAAGGCTTTGGCATTGAGAATGTGTGGAACACGGCCGCGTACAAACAGATGACGGGCAACGCTTTCATGGCCTGTGGAGTCATGTACGCCACCAGAGCTGTGGACCTGAACACGGAGGAGATCTACTACGCCTTTGACACCAAGAGTGGCGAGGAGAAACATCTCAGCATTCGCTTTCCCAAGTTCCAGGAGAAATATTCCAGCCTGGACTACAATCCCACCGATCAGCTCCTCTATATGTACAACAACGGCTACTACGTGTCCTACTATGTGAAGTTTGACATGGCGTAGCTCCCTTCTTTGGGATCGACTGCATTGTGATTGATGTGGTTGATCTGTCTGTTGCTCGGTGCAAGCCTACCCACGTTTCCTGTCTTCTCCTCAATTAAAAAAAAATCAGATTCAAGCATTCAAACAATTTGAGGCGATTCATCCATCCGATTCCATGAATGAATGAATGAAATGATGCCAAGACATTGCGGAAGTACTGCTATTTTCCAAATTGGCAGTTAATTTGAAAGATAAATGTCATGTTTTGCACTGCTTCCGCTGTTTATCCCATTTACTGAACTTTTATTCACCATTTCATGCATCCTGTAACCTGGTAACATGATAAGATGTCCACTGTAGTCACCGCTGTCCCTGAAAGGGTTAAAGAGCTACTTCTTGGGTACTGATTAATGTGAAGGCCGACCAGTTTGATGCTCAGTTCTGAAAAAACAAATGGGATCTTACGTCACGAGAAATAATGTGATTATTATTGTGTGTCATTAATCATGAATGACGCACATTTATAAGAAGACGAAAACCACAAAAATTATCTCTCACAATAATTAGGAAACAGATCGATACACAACACTTTTTAAAGCAAAACTATCTTTAATATCCAGTAATAACCCTCAGAAATACTGTATGAGGCTGATGTGCATGCGACTCTCTAGCGCCCCCTAGTGGCTCGTTGGAGCTTTTTCATAAATGTTTGAAAAAGATGGGCGAGGGAAATATATATATATATTTTGTTTTAAAAGGGTTTCCGTAAGAGGACAAACATGACACAAACATTCTGAACGTTTTCCAATGCTGTAAAAAAGTGTAGAATAAATAACATGAAATGTCGACATTTCTGTCAACGAGGATTTGCGTCATAGCCTGCGACACACGTTTCAATTAGCAGGGCGCGATGTCAGTCAGGTGGCTGTTAAAAACAGCGTTTCATGCACAATTCACCGAGGGTACTGGCAAAGACTGGGAATCTGGAGGGCCGATAGAAGCATTTTTAAACAGTACACTTGAGCTACGATAGTTAACACGCTGCAAATGTGCGTCGCATCATGCCTCTTTCATCTTAGCGGCCGTTGCTCATGAATGGCATACGTGCGTAAGTGTGTGCGTAGGCGTGCGTAAGTGCGTGCGTAGGCGTGCGTAAGTGAGTGCTCGTGTGCTGCGCGCGGGTGCGCTAACGGGTCGATCGCGGGGAGGTTGGTTGATCGAAAAGTAGATCTTACGTGTGAAAAGGTTGTGCACCCCTGCTCTCCAGACGCACCCTTTAATCATGAAGGCTCATTTTGTATTTGAAGCCAACTGAGTCATTTTGATAGTAAGCTAATATAGCTAATATTGATGCATACAGGATGTGTTGCCTTCATTATAACATACATGGCATTTTTCCGCGGATCCGCGGAAAATTGCCATGTATGTTATAAGGCTGATATATGTATAAGACTTTTAATTTTTTGCGGCTCCCGACATATTTGGTTTTTATTTTTGTTTGTTGTTTTGGTCCAATGTGGCTCTTTCAACATTTTGGGTTGCCGACCCCTTCCGCTTTTTTCATCACTCGCCATTGCCATGTATGTTATAAGGCTGATATATGTATAAGACTTTTAATTTTTTGCGGCTCCCGACATATTTGGTTTTTATTTTTGTTTGTTGTTTTGGTCCAATGTGGCTCTTTCAACATTTTGGGTTGCCGACCCCTTCCGCTTTTTTCATCACTCGCCATTGCCATGTATGTTATAAGGCTGATATATGTATAAGACTTTTAATTTTTTGCGGCTCCCGACATATTTGGTTTTTATTTTTGTTTGTTGTTTTGGTCCAATGTGGCTCTTTCAACATTTTGGGTTGCCGACCCCTTCCGCTTTTTTCATCACTCGCCATTGCCATGTATGTTATAAGGCTGATATATGTATAAGACTTTTAATTTTTTGCGGCTCCCGACATATTTGGTTTTTATTTTTGTTTGTTGTTTTGGTCCAATGTGGCTCTTTCAACATTTTGGGTTGCCGACCCCTTCCGCTTTTTTCATCACTCGCCATTGCCATGTATGTTATAAGGCTGATATATGTATAAGACTTTTAATTTTTTGCGGCTCCCGACATATTTGGTTTTTATTTTTGTTTGTTGTTTTGGTCCAATGTGGCTCTTTCAACATTTTGGGTTGCCGACCCCTTCCGCTTTTTTCATCACTCGCCATTGCCATGTATGTTATAAGGCTGATATATGTATAAGACTTTTAATTTTTTGCGGCTCCCGACATATTTGGTTTTTATTTTTGTTTGTTGTTTTGGTCCAATGTGGCTCTTTCAACATTTTGGGTTGCCGACCCCTTCCGCTTTTTTCATCACTCGCCATTGCCATGTATGTTATAAGGCTGATATATGTATAAGACTTTTAATTTTTTGCGGCTCCCGACATATTTGGTTTTTATTTTTGTTTGTTGTTTTGGTCCAATGTGGCTCTTTCAACATTTTGGGTTGCCGACCCCTTCCGCTTTTTTCATCACTCGCCATTGCCATGTATGTTATAAGGCTGATATATGTATAAGACTTTTAATTTTTTGCGGCTCCCGACATATTTGGTTTTTATTTTTGTTTGTTGTTTTGGTCCAATGTGGCTCTTTCAACATTTTGGGTTGCCGCCCCCTGTGCTATCCCCTTGGCGTGCCGACAAAAAGCAATGCTTGAAAAATGATGAGATCAACAAACGCTAATCAATACTGAGCTTTTAGGTCCATAGACCAGACCCCTCTCTTTTGACTTTTGGGAAAAGGCAGCTGCATCCTCCTTGTGTTCCCCTCCTTCGCCTCCGTGTGAGTCATACAAGGTTACCGCTGCCCCTCTGTAATCCTGCCCTCCACTGGGGGTGGGGCGGGAGGGGGGTGAAGCGGGGGAGCAGCCTAGTTCCATCTGGTACTAAGCACCCATCACTTTTTAATCTGAATATGAGTCTTCCGTTCATAATGGATGGCACATACATGAAGGAAATATACTATTTGACCATCCATACTGTACACTGGATTATGCTATTGTCGAAGCCCAATACAATTTAGTTTGGAAGTAAAAGTGAAAAAATGACAAGGCCATCATTCAATGCACTCAAGAAAACAACACTGTCTCTTTAAATCAGACAGCATCCGGCATGATGAGAGTGGGGGAAGAGAGTGCTTGCGTGTGAAATGGTACCCGAACGTGTCATCATGCTCAGCAAATCGGAGGCCAGGCATGCAATTTCTCCTCCTCCGCTCCTCCTCGGAAGAGTGTGTTGTGTGCTGGCTGATGCTGATGCTGCTAAGCCACACGGTCGGCCTCATCACATAGTTTACGCTGTATTTATTTGTGCATTCTCGTCGTTTCTATGTGGTATTTGTTGTTTTTTTTATTGTCACAGGGGAACGTTAAAGATCCGGGCTATGTTTCAATGCACGCTGAGCATATGATGGCTGAGGAACTAGATGATGATGTCGCCGCCTACCATGAGGATGTAAGGCTTGTGCATGGCAAATTTAAGAGAAAAAGAATGCCATACGTTACCACCATGATGCAATTGATTTTCAGTTTCGATATTTCCCTGATACCTTTTGATTTTTTTTTAATGATTTTTATTATTTTTTACAATGTTTATTTGTCTTCTTGGTTGCATGTATACTGTAAAATGTAAAACATTGTCAATGTGGTTGTCTACAATGGTGAGCCTCAGTCTTCATAATGCTTTGATGATGAAACATTTTAAATATTTACTCTTTATGTCAAAGGGAGTTGTTTTTGTTTTTATTAATTTACTTCCTGTCTGCACAAATGAGAGTTAACTCTTTGCTTCCACTTTTCCAGTCGATCATGCTCTGTCACAGAGGCCTAAACTTCGAGGTCACTGGGGGAAGAACCACACCGAGCCCACCCAGTGGCGCCTAGCAGAGATGTGTCCTGCTTTCCATGAGACCAGGAAGCAAAGGTGAGCCTCCAAGAAAACTACACACGCGCGCGCGCACACACACACACACACACACACACACACACACACACACACACACACACACACACACACACACACACACACACACTCACACACTCACGTATAGTTTGAAACATGCAGGTATATTCACCTATGAATGATTCAATATCCACTTCCTGCTCTAAGGTTAAGGGGACAAAAATAGTAGCAATTACCGTTGACTTAAATACTTCTCAAACTGCTCTCAGGCTCGACTGGACCTTGACGGGCCCTAAAGAAGGTGAGGATGGCGAAGCGTGATTACTTGGTAGAGGCAGCCAAGCAGATTCGCATGGCTCTGGACAGCGAGGTCAACGAGGACTACGAGGCAGCTTTCAGTTATTATAAGAATGGGGTGGACTTACTGTTGAATGGCGTTCAATGTAAGTTCATTTCGACCGCGAAATATTCTTCTACTGTATCATTATTCCATTACCATGTTCATATTTTTATTAGCTAATTGATTGGTAAATCATCACAATGTGTCACAATGCTGGTTAGCGTCGGATTTGACCCGGTATGTTGGGTCCAGCGTTTTCTCCCAAATGGGGTAAAAACTAACCATACCGATGACTTAAAGCTACAAAGAAATTAGTTACCAGGTTATCGGGATAATGTAGCGAGTTAAAAATGATATCAATGTTCTCATTTCTTGGACGTGGTATTTTAAATATTCTGTAAAGCGCTTTGTTACAGCTGCAGCGGTTGTGAAAGCTGATATAAATAATGCTGTATTGTATTGTATTCCCTTTAGCGTAGCTCCATCTAGTGGATGTAAAACGCAACCGCAGCTTCTATTGTAGCTTCTATTTTATGCGCCCTAAAATGCGGTGCATCCTATATTGGAAAACAGTTTTAAAATAGGCCATTCGTTGAAGGTGCGCTTGATACTCCGAAGCGCCTTATAGTGCGGAAAATACAGTACTTGTCTGCACATGTGCATTTTATGACATCATCAATCTCTGACTGTGTGGTAGATTAAAAATAATATTTGTCCAGCGCAAGACATGTGACTGGAACATGCAGACCACATTAAAAATGGGAAGTTAAAAATCAGAACTCCCACTGGACAAAGATCAACAGGTTCATTGAGGACAGGCTTGTTGTATTGTTCCAT